CGGCGTTGACACCTTCACATGCAACATGCAGAAAAGCATGATTTCGTCACCATGCAAAAGGAATATGAGACGACATTGCCCATGTGCATAGGCGAGCGACTCACGAGCCTTGTGTTTCAGATGCCGCGAGAAGGGCCGTGCGCTGGTTCGAGAACCTGGGATCGTCGCGATAGAAGATAAACTACGAATTCTCGGCTCGAGACGAGGCTTGATCGATCGTCGATACTCAGAAGAGGGTGAAAGATAACAATGGGATTGTGAGCGAAGGTTCTATGATGGAGAGATCGAATTGCTGTGGAAGGAGAAAAGGGATGTCGGTGGAGACAGTGATCTAAGGCCTGCATGCCGCTTATCGCGTACCTGCATCTTGCGACCCATGTTCACGCGTCGCCTTCCTTTGTCGGAACCAGGACGTCAGCAACACAACCCGGCGCTCTTGGTAGCGGTATAGTGGCATCAAATTCCGAGCAATCTTGTCGACATTCGATGATGTGCACACAATCTTAAGTAGCGGAGCGCAAGATGTTACTCCAAAAGACTAAGCGATCGATGATGGAAGCTCCACGTCCAAAGTCCAGTCTACCGTAGCGGTGCACTACGCCACCGTGCCATTGGAACCGTCGACGGCATCTTCCCCATCCGCACGCCAAGGGGACATACTTTCGTCTAACGCAGGGTCGGTATCCGGTGCCGCACGAAGAACGCATGTCCCCCAAAGCGTTCGCTGTGCAAACAGAAAAGCAATTTGACAAGGCTGTCAGCAAGCGTGATGTGTGAGGGCAGAATGAGGAGAAGTCAGCAAAAGCCGTTGTGGTGTTCTATCGGGTACAGCATCCCTACACAACCAAGAGAAAAAGGTCTGGATTGCCAGGCGCAGGGCCTGCCAAAACAGCCCTGACACAGCTCCGCAGGCCGCCTGATTGGGCCGGCGACAAGAAATCGCACCGTCGCATTGCGCAGAGCAAAGAAAAGCAAGGCCGCCTCCCACCATCCATCTCCACAGCTGTGCCAGCACGCCGCTTAGCCAACGCTAAAGGACCGCAAGTTCGGCGCCATCCCAAACTCTAACTGCAACCTAACCCTCCTTCCGAGGCACATTGCACACCTATGCGAAGCTCTCGCTGCACATCCGTCGCCCGTAACTCGACGAGATACACCCCTCTAGAATGCGTAGGTGCGATTGACGGCGCAGTAGATCAAGGAAACCAACAGCGCCCAGGGAGGGGTACTGGGGAAAGATAGTCAACTGCATACCAAGGCTCTGCGACAAACCGCGGCAATCCCTGGGGACGATCACCGGGTAACTCCAATGTTAATCTCCACGAGTCTATTGCTGCGCGTTAGGGAGCAGGCTTGGACCAAGGTATTGGTTCACTAGAAGAGAAATCAGTACATAGACCCCCCCTCTCCGTCCCATCGTTTTTCTCGCTCAACCCTGTTCCATCTCACTTCGACATTCCCTCACTCCAGTCCATCTTTCACATATCGAATACTATCACCAATACATATTATACCATATAATCAAGATGCGTTTCCAGGCTACCGTCCTTGCCGTCGCGGCTTCGCTCGCTTTCGTTGGTGCTCAGGATTTGAGCGGTATCCCCCAGTGCGCTGTATGTTGCCCTTCCTCTCCTGTCCCCGATCGGATCGGACTTCGGAGCCCACATCTCCACAAGACGATCGCGATCGCGATATGGGCACATTGCATCTAGCATCACCAACTAACACATCAATCAACAGATCCCCTGCTTCGTCGCTGCCCTCCCCAGCTCCAACTGCGGTGTCACAGACACAAACTGTCAGTGCACCAGCGGCCGCTCTGCCATTGAGAACTCGCTCCTTACTTGCGCACCCGAGCGATGCGAGCAGAGTGAAATCTCCAGTACGTTTTTGCATACCCTACATACCTATCATCTTCGTCCATATCTAACGCGACTACTAGGCCTTGCCCCCGCTGTCTCCTCCCTCTGTGCCGCCGCCGGTGTAACCCTCTCCGACATCCCCACTGCCGTTCCCTCATCTGGCGCTTCCATGACCGGCTCAATGATGTCCAGCATGATGAGCGGATCCCCCACCATGAGCGGCTCCATGTCGCCCACCAGCTCCGGTGTCGCTGAGCAGACTGAGAACGCTGCTGCTGGCAAGCTTGCCAGCTACGGTGTTGTTGCCATGGGTATGGCTGCCGTCTTCGGATTGTAGATGTCGAATACCTGGAGGGGTGATGCGAAGGGCGCGTTGGTTGATTAGGAATTTGTAATGCGACATTCGCTTGTATATCGCAATTGATACCGTATCGTTCATTTGAGTCGCTGGATGTTTGACGCCGTGCGCGACTGGTTGGTGATGTTGAATTGGTCTCGGCTAGTTCCTTTGTTCACGCAGCTTCGAGTGCGGTCGCCCATTTGCCAGACCATGCCGTGAACTCATCGTCTTCGCCAGCCCAGCTCTGCCTGACCAGCTCGATCGCGCTGTTCGCCTCACCACAACATTTATCCAAAGTTTCTTTCGCTTCGTCCTCGTCGAGATCGTAGAACGCGCCTGCAATATCGTCGACCGTCTCAGGTATCGTCTTGAGGGTATTCACAAGCGCGTCTAGCTTCTTGCAGGGTGGCGCGGTCGAACCGTTCGTTGACGCAGTCGGTTCGAGCGTGGACGATGCAGGATACGTCTTTAACCTCCTCTTGATGAGTGCTTGGTACAGCATGCTGATCATCTTCAGCTTCTTGACACTGGTATCCAGCAGTTCCTTCAGCTCCTTGTTGTCTTTGCCAATCTTGTTCGATGCGCCAAAGATCTCGTCTTCGTCGTCGCTGCCTTCTGCTTCGTCATCGTCGTCGTCCACGTCTTCGCCCCATTCTTTCAGTTCCTCGATCGCATCGAGTAGGACTGCGCGGTACTCTTGCGCCTTCTTGACTACGAGTCCTACAACGCCGTCTTCGCATAGCTTCAGCAGCGCGTCGCATACGTCCCAGAGTACACCAGTCGAAGACAAAACTTCTTGCTTCTCGCTCTCGGTTGGACCGGTGTCTTTGCCTTTCGCGCTTTGTCTTTTTTCTGCCATCTTCAGGATCATGGCGAGGACTTCTCCCCATGTTCCCAACAATCTCCGTGTCTGCGCCTTGACTTCTGTGCGCATTATGTCCCCGATGTCACCCCTTTGACCCTCTCGTGGTACATATGAGGCCGCAGTGACCATACTGTTGAGTGGCCCCGAGGTCACATCGCCGATTTTCGCTATTATCGCGGAGGGCGTGAGGGGCGGGTTGATGAGGAGGAGAGACAGTGTGGTCGTATGCGATTTGAGGAGCTTAGTCGACGCTCTGATAACATCGAGAGGATCTGCTATCTCTGTCTCGGACGTAGGAGCGGCATCTTTGGTGGGCGCAAGAGAAGACTGGTAGTGTGTGAGGAGCGCTTGTGTGGTTTTGGTAAGGTCGATGAGACTGCGCAGATCTTTTGGCTTCGACATTGTGCCCTCCTTATTGGGAAGAATTAAGGGGTGTTATAGTCTTGGAATCTGAGAATATGTGCGCAGTTCACGAGCCAAAGTTTGGGCAGTATCAAAATTTTGGTGGGGCAGTGACTCTTAGCGGGGTACCTAGGTACGTAGGTACATAGCTCCGTCATACCCGTAACACAGCGGACATACTCCGCAGATGCAGATGACTGTGTCCATCTCCTTGCCGCGACACCATTCCGATATAATGATATCTCGTTCTGTCCAGAAGTTCATGAGATCTTAGTCGATGTGCTGGATCCACCCTTCTTATACCATGGGCAGTCCAGTCCGGACCCCCACGATTTGGAAGGCGAAGTCGAGGCAGTGAACCTCAGCAGACCTTGTATGTGATGCGTCTCAGACACGACTGAACGGGGAAATGTGCCGCTGATGCATGTATTCACATGTATGTAAGAGTCTGCCCCGACATCTGCTGAGGTCACAATGGCGTTCGTCTCCGCCCTCGTGCTGCTCACATTGAGCCTCGCCAATAAGGCCACGCACTAGGCAATGAAGGCTGCGAGGCGCAGTCGATGCAGCTCACCGGTTCTGCAGGTTTGACCATTCAAAACCTACTACATGTCATCTCATACGCTCATGTTGCAGGTGCATACATTATAGTATGTTGAGCAATTACGCCTAGCTCAGCCATTCGTCAATTGGACCCGAGCGATATCGACAGCCTCGCAACATGAAGCTGGAGGACTCGCGATGAATTCAATGAAGCAGAGCCTCACGTACTGGTGCAGTCCAGCCTGATGGTATATCTGGCAATCGCGAATGCGCGAAGGACATAGGTCCCTAAAGTGCACCTCAGGAATGTCACAGACCTCACCGGTATAGCCTTTTCTATCCGTTTACTCCAATACCAATCGTACCCTAGCACTCTCATCCGCCCATCGTACACCTCCTACGCAATGTCTTACGTCGAGGATACTTTTCCGGTCTATCGTCTTGATCAGGCAGATTTGCAGAAATACCTGAGCGAGCTGCACGGTTCGGGTGACTTCTACATTCAAGTAGGAAATCCTGAAATTCGTGTCGATATGTGCTGAGAATAGTGTGCAGGTCATCAATGATACGTACAAGTTCCGAATTCCGAAGAAGTTGGATGCGGTATGAATTATTATGTGATCAGTAATTGTACATATTCTGACCTTGAGGCAGAATCAGCGAAGAACGCTTGCAGGTCGACGGTGGGAGGATGATTGACAAGAAATGCTGGCAACGATCTTGTGGGGGCGGGCTGCATGATAGTCTGCCGCGGGGCTAGCTAGACAGGATGTCGTGGCGATGAGGGCAACACCGGACTTGGAACTCGGTGCTGCGGTCATGTCTAGTGCTGGTATATAACTTGGTTTACCCAATTTTGTTAGTGAGGCACTTTCCAGTTTCATTACTGACCTTCGATGCAATTGCAATGGATCAATTCGTTTCATCATGCAAGGAGTTCCGACGCTATCCTCAGAATCTCACACAACGATGTGCCCTTAGCCATAGTATGGCTGGATACGCATCTCGGTTGCAATCACAATCCGAGTTTCTGTTCAAAGATGAGAAGGTAGCTGTGGACTTCCTCGATTATCGCGAACTGGACAATCGTAAGCACTCTATTACTGGCCAATCTTCGACGTACTGACCCCACTCAAGGCTTCAGCCCGGCATGCGTCAAAAACCAAAGAGAATTGGAACTCATACTTAGCTGTAGACACTCATTAACACCTGAGGCTGCCGATCCGAGATGTCGTTTCATGTCAGTTGGCTTTTTCTTTTTCTAGAGACTCAGCTGATGATGACAGATTCTTGACAGCTGGCCATGCGCGGGCACCATTGAAGATCACGCACGACATGTTCAGCTTTCTGTGTACAATCTATCAGGTCTCTCCTTCCTTTCTAGATTTCGTATTTCCTTTCGGTCTGAAGGAAGAAGCACAAGACTTTCACTTCAGTGGCTTGAAAGCAGAGTACCGGTTAGCGTCTTATGACAGGGCGTGTGTGCTACCAGACCTAGGCCGCTCGGGCAGAGATCTTCGCTTCAGCTATAATCTGAGATCCGTGGAACCGACGCCATCTCGATCAACAGAACCTTGGTCCATCCGCCAGTGCGCTGTATACCATACCTTCGACGTGGAAAATGGGAAAATGCTCTGGATCATCGTCAAGGCAAACAAAGAAATCCAGAAGCGCGTGAGTGAAGTGTCCGACGAGTCAACACAAAGCGGCAACCCCCTCAAGTGTCGCAGCAATGCGTTTGCGGCCGCCCTACAAACACATCTGTTGTTGTGCAATTGGTCCGGAGAGAACTGGCGGTGGTATATCAATTATCTCGAAGATAAATTGCAAGCTTTGACAAGAGGTGTGTCGGCCCTCGAGGTCGAGAGGAAGCCATCCCCGCTGTCATCGCCAAAGATCACGAGCCCAAAAACCAGCGTAGGCCCGTTTGCCAGCTTGTCACGATCTCACACATTGCGTCCGATTCTGACAGGACAAGCCTGGACACGGTCAAACACACTGCGAGAAAGTCCACAGACATATACACGCACCACTACGACTACCTTTGATAACCAGCCTTGCAGTGTTTGGGCGTCAGCACAGAGAGCAAGCACTTCGCCCGATGCGAAACGTTGGAAATCGGCCGTGAATGATCTCCGTAGATTGCTAACACGGCCCTTGCGATCCAACACAGTCAACAGTAACTCAACTTTCGGAGACGAGAAGACGCTACTAGCATCCCCCGAAACAACGGTATCGCCAGAGCTACCCTCTGTGTCTTCCGATGGAGGAGCAGACAAAGATGACAAGTTCACTTTCAAGAACCTTCAATCTATACAGCATATTGAGGAGAAGGCACAAGAAGCCATGCTTGTGCTCAAGCTGAACACTGAAGTTCTTGAGCAACTGAGATTGCACTACGATGAAGTTGCAGAGCATGCCGAGTTTCCTCAAGAATTGAAGGATGGCTGCAAGGCTAATCTTCATCGGTTCAACAAGGGTATAATTGGAGTAGAGAAAGACATGCACATGCTGCAGTCAAGAACCGAGACGCTGCTGCACCTTCTGGCTAATCGGAAGAACTTAGTAAGTACCCATACTCCCTCGCATCATCATACGGTTAGTGGGGTAGTGGTATGCACCAAACTTACATCGATCGAAGCGAGAGACTGGGCATGTGCTAATACCATGTTCTAGATGAGCGGTATACTACAGCACCGAAGCTCTAAAGCCAGCGAGTTCTACGCTAAAGAGTCTCGAGAATCCGCGGCCCGCATGGAGATAATGACTGTGAAGATGCAAGATCTTGCCATGAAGACGAAACAGGAAACTGTCTCTATGAGGGTCATCACCACCGTGACCCTCTTCTTTCTTCCAGCAACCTTCATCGCCGTAAGTGATCGAGATCACATCCTGGATACACATACTAAAGCTACTCAGACGTTCATGAGCACTGACATTCTTAACTTCGAACATGGTAAACAAGACCTGCAAATGCAAGGTCTCCGACTATATCTCATGATTGCTCTTCCTGCGACAGCTTTGACCTTTGTCGCATGGTACTTCATATATTACTTCGCCAGAAGGGAAGCTCGGTCGAACGATCAGTCCGAAGCAGTTGGGGAGGCCTGATCTCTTATTGTATTGCGTGTCAGTCAGCTATGTTACATGCGTTGGCTTTTCATTCCCTATTGGTAAAAGGTGTGGTTTGAGTTTGCAATGTTGCTTTTCGGGTATGTGGGTGGTCTCTTGGGAAGCCTCATTTCTGCGGCGTTAAACCACTAGGGCAACAGGAACGGGAACCATGACGATGTCTCCTCTGTTGTACATTAGACTCTTAGATTTCTAGACAACTTTAGATCGTGATCCTGTTTATTCAGATCTCCATGCGCTCGTATGATGAGTTTGTCTTCTCGCATAGCTCGAGATGAGAGCCGTTAGATCTGGGAGTTGATCCGATCGTCCAAAAGGATCTAGCCGAGGTTTCCAGAATCAGGTTCGCTGTAGAAGCTGTCGAAACTTGCGAGCGTATCATGAAGCCTGGGCTTCGAGCCATGGTCAACAGCGGACCGATGCCCGCGGGCGTCTTGGCGGTTCCACGTTGCTCAACCTAAAAGCCAACGTCGTGTCCACAGGGCGGATCTATCCTGTCATTAAATCTCCAATTATCGATCAATCCTCATCAAAAACATATGCGCAGCCTTGAAAATCGTAGTAATTTTATCGTGTTAGGTTTGTAGACAGTAGCCGTCACAGTCGCTCAGCCGCGTAGCCGCGTGGCCGCCAACTTTCCTGTTGTCACCTCTCCTTTGTTCGCGATAACTCTTATTTCCTCTCATCACATCTCCTGCCAGAAAATCTTTCTTTTTCCAGATGAACGATGGCACGCTCAACGAAGGACGATGATGCAGCTGATGCAGGTCCGGTCGAGTGTGGCTTGAGGCTGCGGGCGGGGTCCTGTCCTGCTCGCTTTAGCGCAGACATGGAGCAGACCCCCGAGGGCCCTGGCTTCAGCCTGCCGCGCATACTTGCAAAAGCTCCAACCTCACATTGAGCTTACGTGCAAACTTCATACCGCCTCTTTTCTCCTCCTAACCCTTCCTATACCTGTCGCGATTCGCGCCGACCGAGTATACCTCATGCGCACCGTCTCCTATAGCCACGATGGGATCCGAACTTCACGATTTCCTCGAGCGCGTAAACGAATGCACATCGGTCGCGATAGCTGAGCCTATGCCACTGGTTACCCGGCCGATCGTATCGATAGATAGGCTCCGATCTTATCTTACTACGGAAAGACTGCGAAAGCTCTTGCTATATGTAGACAGCTCCACCGGCTTCGAGGATGCTGTCCGGACCAGATATTTAGCTGTGTTCGCGGTTCTACTGTCGATAAATCAGGGTATCTACCTATCGACATTCGTGCATCACGATCACATGGCAGACGCAGGGCTACCTTTTCTTACCTGCGACGCATGGCCGGAGGTTTCCAAGACCATATTCGATGAGTTCTACCAAGCACAGTGGAAGTTCTGTCCAAAACGGCTCGTTTTTGGCCAACTGCACGACACATGGCTACATCGCAATGTCGTCGTACCTATGAAGCAAAAGATACTGTTGAGAGAAGGCGTGGACGCGGTGATCTTTAAGGTGGAGTTATTCGAGGAGTACAACCATCTCATCCCAGTAGGTCAACACCGTGCGCGCGCACAAGTCCGTACATTTGACGCAACTAGCTGACTTCTTTGTGCTAAGAACGAACTAAACATCCCCCCTACCAACGTATTCATTCTGAAATCAAGCCTGTCGGGCTATGCCAAATTACACAACAACGAGGTCGAAGCCTACAGAACACTACAAAGCCACCCAAGTGGTCGAGATGCGATGCAACACATGGCCCGCTTCTATGGTTCGTGGGCACAGGGTGAGACTCGTAACATACTGCGCGAATTCGTTAGTGGTGGCACACTCACGGACTTTTTCGAACGAACCGAGCCGCCGACGACCAAGGCCGATATTCTGGAGTTTTGGAAAAACTTTATACAATTCATCAAGCCAATAGCATGTATACATCACTTTCCTAATCCGCACAACCATCATTCATACAAAGTGGGGTACGTCCAAAAGCATGGGTTCTCTCTTCTCTTACTTCGGACTGACTTCCAAAGGCTACATAACGATATCAAACCGGATAACATCCTCGTATCGGAGCGGAACGGGAATAGCCCGTATAGTGTCTCCTTCAAACTCGCAGATCTTGGTCTCGCCGGGTTTGTGGTGGCTGATGACTCAGACGAGACTCAACTGCGCGATGTCCACGGTACGAAGATGTACAGTATGTCGCCACTACGTCCTTCACTTAGCCCATGCTAACTTGCGTCTAGGTGCGCCCGAATACTTTCGTGGCGAGACAGACAGGTCCAAGCAACAAAGCATCAAGCAAGCCCGTCCGGCTAAGGATATTTGGGCCTTAGCTTGTGTGATCAGTGAAGCCGCGGTATGGTCTGTATTAGGCCGAAGAGGGTTGATTGACTACCATCGCCAGCGCGTCGAAGCTGCTGAAGCCATTCCGACTCTCAGGAACACAGGCTATAGCGGCTGCTTCCACGACACCACCAAAGTCCTCTCGGTTGTGGGAGAAACGCACAGGGAGGTCACCCAACGATGTCGAGCAGCTATAGACAACATTGTTGGGTCAGTCCTTCTTATTGTTAGCGGAATGATGATGCAAGATCCGGCCAGAAGACCAGATGCGTGGACAGTTTACGATGGTCTCACACAAGCCATAGACTTAGCGACACCAACGGCTCCCCCACCATTTCACGATACAGATCCACGGCCACCAACACCGAACAACTACACTCGACACTCGGTGCCTGTTAATCTGTCCCCAAGCATGACGAACGGGTTGGGCTTCACTATGAATGCGAACGCGCGGCCGCTAGTCAGCGATACACGCGGGTATCAACCGGATCGTTTTCCAGAAAGACGCACAACTATCAGTGGAGATCGTTCCCCTCGTCCAGATTCTGGTTCATCGAGTACTAGACAGGGAAGGACACCGAGACGGGATGCCTACAGTCCAGCCCTCGATACTACGCATGAAATGCACTGGACTCCGCTGTCCCCTACCAACAGTGCTGTCCCACAGGCCAATGTATCTTCCGGTCGGACGGCCCGTCCTTCGGCTTCTGTAACCAGGGTCCTGAACTACATAACTAGGAAGAAGTTGGATAAGAGCACGGTCTTGCAGGGCGAAGAATGGCTGAACAAATTACATGGTAGAGATCAGGTATGCTAACATACAAGAGGAACTTTTAGCAAGCTTGCTGACGAGATGTTACTAGATCTTCCTCATCGACGACTCAGAATCTATGCGACATCACTGGGATGACGTCAAAAGTACCTTCGAGGCTCTAGCGTACCTCGTTAAGGCCATGGATCCAGATGGTATCGAGTTACGATTCGCCAACAGTCGGAGATATGACAGCCGTGGGAAGGATCGCAAGGCACTCCTCAGGAATTTCGAGAAAGTCAAGCCCAGTGGCCAAAGCCAAATGGGTATTGCGCTCAGCAATATTCTCCCAGACTACTACCACAAACCGCACCAAAGCCAAGCCAGCAAGCGGTCATCCTGGTCTCCACGAGTAGAAGAAAAGCCTGCAGTTAACATTTACATCCTCACCGACGGTGTATGGTCGCCAGGTCATCATTGCCTTTCAACCATCAAAAACCACGTTACAAGCCTAGTCAATCACCTGGTTGCGACCGGAAGGCTTCAACACGTCGGTATCCAGTTCATCCGCTTTGGAAACGACGAGACTGGTAAAGAGCGCCTGAATATCCTCGACAACGATGAATTGAAGCATTACAAAGTTCCTATAGATATCGTCGACACGGAGCCGTCTACTGGCAATATCTTCAAGATGCTGCTCGCCAGCACCGACCCTTCCTGGGATAACGAGCCCAGTAGCTAAGGAAGATGTCTACTAATAAGTTTTACTGGAGAACCTCCCCTTTGTCTTTTGATGTTCTTTCAGGGATGATGCGCATGATACCCACTCTATTACGGCGTTTGGCGATATCGGCGTCGCATTTAGGGGTAGCCACGGCATACTCTATTAGCACACTGTTTAACTCTCACGGCTGGACAGGCGGACAACCGGGGTTGCATATGAACCATTGATATGATAATAATGAAACATCATGTAGAGATTCATGTGACGATTGTTTTGATCTAGTCTATACGTACACAGGCACCATCCCTTCTACAATAATGTACATCAATGTCGTAATCCTCCTTTCATACACCACACCGCATGCAGTGCACCTCAGTTATTCCTCTTACTCTTCTCCTTCCCCTTCTTCGCCTTCTTCCCTTTTCCCCCCTTCCCCTCCCCATCGTCCTCACTCGCCCTCTTCCCATTCCCCTTCCCATTCGCAGCCGGCTCCAACGCCGCATCCGTATCCTCATCCTTGACCAGCAACTCATTAAGCGCATCATTAAAATTCTCCATCTCGCAAATCTCGCCAATCTTGACGCGCATGTAGTCGAATGCAATGGCGACCTTCATATCCTTGTTGCGCACCTTGATGACGCGGGCGTTTTCTTGGAGCGAAGATGAAGTTTCCTTGGGGAGAGAGGGTATGGGTTTTGCGGGGCCGGGAGCGGGGGCGGCGGTGGAAGAGGGGATGGAGGGGTGCATGTCCATGTTGTCTGCGTTTTCAGTTGTGGGGTCGACTTCCGCGTCGTTATCTTCCATGGACACGTCTTCGGCGACTTCTTGGGGGTTGAGTAGTGGGTCTGCTTCCTCGCCGTCTGTGACGGTTTGGAGGACGGGGATCTTCTGGTAGCGCTGGCTGAAATGCGTGAGGACTACGGATTTCGCGTTCATCGCCGCGCCGATACCGAGTGCTTCGGAAGTGGTGGAGTGTTTCTTGGCCTTTGCGTCGCCTTGTAGTTCATCGTCGAAAGTCGCTTCGTGGATGAGGACTGTGGTGTCTGCTCCGATCTTGGCGAAGTGGCCGCTTGGTCTGCAATCGCCTGAGTAACTGACCTTGAGTGGCTTGATTTGTTCAAGGTCTGCTGGGTCACGTGGGAATGTGATCGAAACAGCCATGGCACCGTGGCAATGCGCTACTCTGGAAGCTTGTATTTCGTTGAAACGAAACAGTTTCTCGTACTGTTTTTTCGGTATGGCCGCGTTCTCAGATAGTGTCTTTCCGAACGAGTTCAGTATAGACAACCTCGAGCCATTCTGATATTCGTTGGGAGTGATTTGAAGAGGAAGAATTCGACTGTAGCCAAAGTCCTCGATGGCTGAGTATTCGTTAAGCCATTGGAGCATACCACTGTGGGATACGACAGCAAGACCGTATGCGCTAGGGTCTATGTTGCTCGCGGAAGGGTCCAGGGGCTGGGGGTTTGGAACAGCATTGTGTGCTACTTGGTACCAAGCACGAATTACTGATGCTGTGCCTAGGTGGTGATCGGCATGCAAGTGACTGATCCAGATCATACGCAGATTCTTGAAGATATCGACAAGCTCCTCGTGGGGAAAGACTCTTGAAAGCTGGCCCAATGTGTTCTCCCCGCAATCTAAGAGGTAGTTGCCGATGCCAGGAACACGCACCAATGTGGAAGACACGTTACGGTACTTGGACGGAAGGGCAGAACCTGTTCCGAGTGTCGTTACCTCGGTGTCACGACGCGCTAGTAGCTTACTCCATATCTGCATCTCTCTGCTTTTGCTTTTGACCTCCGCTTGAGCCTTTTGAGCCAATTCGAGAACCTCAGGCGGCGTTGTAAGTGCCACTTCATCGGGTACGAAGAGACTAGATATAGTGTTTTTCTTTGTGGCAAACTGTGGCATGAGATTAAAGCCAAAGCCTCGGTCAGCGCGGATGGCTCCGGAGGGCAACGGCGGTGCTGTCGACATGCCAGTCCTGTATATACTTGTTTGCGGTACAGTAGTGTTATCGAAAACGGGTGTGCGATATCTTGACGGATCAATCTGCCCAAGTCGCGTAGCTTGTCCTGCTACCGAGTCGTGCGCGATGCGATTCGGCGCAGTATCTAGAGAGGATATTACGTGTTCTACGTTGTGGATCTTGTTCATGAAATTGAGTAGATCTGGGTGACCTACGACGCCTGGACCAAGCATCCAAACGATAGCTCGAATGCCAGTCATAACCTCTGGAGAGCTAAGCTCTTCTCGTTGAAGAGTGCTTTCAATGTATTCAACTGAGGGGATGTCCAAGATGGCGATACCCTGACCGGGCCTATCAGCGCCCATGACCTGATCTGGGGTAATCATCTCGCCGTCCGCGTTCGGTACCGATATGCCATTGGTGAGCTTTCCGAAATCCGGTCCTGGTTTGACACCTAGCGCTTTCGCGCGTGCGACGTCGAATTGACCACGAGCTGAATGCGACCGCACGATGTACGAAACACACTCTGGTGCTGGCCTAGTCGGTGGTAGCGCCAGAATCATAGCGCCAGGCCACGGCGTCCTGGTCCAGACTTTAATGTCAGGAAGAGGCTCTTTGCCCCCTGGCATCGGCCCTTGGTAGGCCGAGAAGCCGTGTGTATCGGGGTTACGAATGAATATTTGAGCAGGCACTTGTACCTCAGAAATGTGGCGTTCTGCCAGTGTATCCATCTTCCAATTCGAATCGAACATGTACTTGATGGTCGCTGTCCGTATCCGGTCGTACCTCAACTCGCGGTCTTCCGGGCTCTCATTTTCGGGAGCCTGTAGTCCGTCAAATGTATTCTCGTGTTCATCGAAATACCGTCGCCGCGCCTCCAAATCAGAATCCGCTTGCGCATCGACTTCAGAGTTGACAGGCGCTACTGAGAGAGCCCAAACTTTGATATTGTCGTCCTCCCACGTCGGGACTATAGCGCCATTGCCGTCCTTCTCGGGTGACTGCTTAACGTACTCGGTCGCATTGATGGGTATGCCCTTTCTGAATATGAACCTCCGACACGTTGCCAGTGTATGTTTCAGATTGGGTGGCCCATATATGTCGAAGTGCGGCTTCGCGGGTGCTTCGCCTTTCTTTCCCCGCTCTTGAGCCAGACGAAAGGTATCCATGGCGGTGGTGTAAGAGCTGGTGGTCGAGTCGGCCAATGTGAGCATCATGCCAATCAATCCACCCATGTTCTTCCACTCTGTCCTGCCTGTCATGAAGAAATCTTGCGCCTTCAGCAGACGTGTGCCCTGCTGCACCATCGCCCGCTGGGTGCCCTCTGCCAGGTTGCCGAAAACATAGTGCTTGCTTGCCGTCCGTAGCACGAGCGTTGTTCCCGGCGTATCGGCCGTAGGCGTTGTGACGACCTCAACGCTGCACGACATGTCTTTTCTTCTCAAGAACTCGGTTCTATCGAACTCCGCAGGAGGCTTTGTATGTTTGTTCTTGGGCTCGGAGAGTTCAAGGTTCGGCGGTTGCGTAAGGGAGCATGAGGCTGATCCGATTGGAGCTTTGGGGGGTTGATATATCAGACGTGTGAGTACCTTCGCTTCTGCTAGGTGATTCGCCTTGCCGCTTTTCGTGTGTTTAGATGCAACTGGTTCAGGATCGAGGGGTAAGCGGTAGATCTTCGAAAACGTTCGAATGGATGGGCGAAACCGAGGAGTAGCTCTGGAGCGGAGAGTAAAGGCAGCGAAGTTCGTATGCGCTATGGGCCGACCGTATCGTGGGCGCAATGCGAAGAATCGGACATTAGTCGTAATGGTCGTAGCTCGCTCCGTGGCGCTAATTATGGAAGCCAACTTGACGAAGGGAAGGAATGACACGAGAAGCAACTATGTACAACCCTGGAAGCATCGGGGTGAGAGAGCGCATGCAACGAGTCGAAATGATGCGCGTCACTTTTCGCGATGCGTCAACGATCAAGGCTAGATTTAGGCGAAGTTGAGGCCCGTGCGAACTAAACCCGAGCGGACTTGTTCCGCGACACTCTACCTTTCTGTCCATCACTCCATCTCGACCAAGACGCTGTTTTCATCGGATATCATTATTCGTCTGAACTTTACTACTTTTTTTTTTCCTCACGTTGAATCTTCGTACGCATCAACACTCATCGCTTGACCCATTCTAGGCATTCTTCTTCCGGAGCGCTCCACCATCAACAGTAATGTCCTGACCAGTGACGAAGCCCGCCTCGATGAGATACAGCGCAGCATCAGCAATGTCCTTCGGCCTTCCAGCCCTGTTGGTCGGGTGATCAGAGACGTCCTTCTCACTAATCTGGCCTGCCCAGTCTGCCCCGTTCTCGTCGCCCTCCTTGCTCTCGTGTGCGACCTTGATGCGTCCGGGGGCGATAAGGTTGACTCGGATGCCTAGACTACCCAGACTGATTGCCATGGAGTGCATCAAACCAAGCTGACCTGACTTGCTTGAAGCATAGCCCTCTTGGTTCGGATCAGACTGATGCGCACGGAAGGAGCCGATGTGAATGATGCATGGGCCTGCAGGACTGGAGTTGTTGGCGTTCTGGATGTGTGCACCGTGTTCAACATCAGATGCTCGGGCTTTCATGTAGGGTATACAAGCTTGGGACATGGCGAAGGGACCAGTAAGGTTGGTGTCGATGTACGCTTTCCATTCATCAATGGTCGAGAGGTCCTCCATGGTCTTGCCATCTTTCCACTGTGGAGATGCAATACCGCCGTTGTTGATCAACACATCAATGCGGTCGTTGAAGAACTTGGCTGCCTCTTTGACTTTGGCACGGATGTCCTCCACGTCACGAAGGTCGCAGATCGCCGAACCCAGCCTACCGTCGGCGTAGTACTGCTTGAGGTGGACCTTGGTGGTGTGCTCGAGCTCTTCCTCATCGATGTCGAAGATGTAGGCGTGGTGGCCAGCTTCGAGCATCATCCGAGTCAATGCTCGGCCGATGCCTCGTGCACCACCTGAAATGATGATGTTCTTGTATAGCGCAGGAGCTGGTGCTTGGCCTGCCATCTTGAGGGTCTTGAAATGTGGAGTTGGTATTGTTCGGTATGGAGACGCGGGGTGTGAACTTCGCGTAGGTGTTGTTTGTTTAAGTACGTTGCTCTGACGTCACGCCTCAACACATCGTTTATCGCCACGACGTGTGCTGCACGAGATCTTGAAATCGGAAATCGTTACGAGGATCTCATTTTTGCGGGTCTTACCCTTACTCAAATCTCTAGGCCAAAGACTCACATTGTGTTATGTTGTACAGTTGTTAAGGGAAGACAATTTATGTTCCAAATGTAGTACGACTAGAGTACAACTCAACCATAAACCAGACCTTTTGAGTACGATGATCAAAAGTAGTTCGCAGGACAAGTGATATGATGTTACCAATACTTGATACTATCACATTCTCGTGAAATCTGGGGCCACTTTGGCTAATCATATGTCGAGTGAAGGGAAGCTCAGCATCTTGAGCGTACGGCCACCTCACACAAGTATGAACCTGAGCAGATGTGTAGACTGCACTATAATAGGCCAAACTAGATACAAGGTAGATGTAAAAATCCGGCGTAGATGTAGACTCTGGGGTGTTCGGTGTTTTCCGTGCATGAGACGCGGCATGATGATGAAGCAGAGCCACCCCCATGATAACATTTCTAGTGCAGCCGCCCCTTCCCGATCTGTTGAAACATTCGAGGAGATGAAAGTGAGTGATGAGAGGGTAGCTACTTCCTCAGTCCAACGATACCGCTTCCAAGGTTGGTAACGAGCCCACGTGGCAGAAGATCGGTACCTTCCCATCTGAACCACAACTGGGCAACGCACTCACCCATAAATAATTTATCTGCATACACTCCCCGTCAACTCTACAAATACCACCACCACAAATACGTCCGAAACATGGTTCGCACCTCTACAGTCGCCGACCCCCAGTGCGTCCACGCCATGGTCGCTGAAGACGTTCTCAAGTTTATGTGTGGCCTCATGGTTTACGTCTGGTTCGCGATGGATGCCTTCTTCAACATGACCAGCGAGAGCAAGTTCCCAGCGGTGTTGGCGTGGCTAGTGCTCATTCCGGTACGTACGCTGAAGATAAAATCCGTATCCGCTCTAACACATTTCAGTTCAGTCTGTTTCTCCTTACAAACATCGTCGTTGTACACGTAGACGCGATCTCCAGGAAATACAAACTCAGCAATGACGCCGTCACCGGGCTCCAATACATACTCGGTTGCATCTACGTACCGGTATTTCTGTCAATATGTGCGGCGATACGATTTGCAATCCCAAAAGGCCACCTACTGGTCTGGTCTTCCTTCTTTCTGCTACCGGTAAGTCCTCGTGGTAGAGCCTGTATCGACAATTCTCACTCTTCATAGGTCTGTGGCATGCTCTTTGCCCTCGCCATCGACGCTAGGGCCAGGGGATGGTAGGTGGAATATCCCTGCCTGTGGATTCGGTTGAGGAAGGGGCGGCTTCAAACGAAATGCGCAAACTTTTGAAAGACGGGGAGGCGAGGAACGGAAAGCAAGAGATCAGGGATAATGGATAGAATCAATCATGTCACCATATTACACCTGAGTGAACGTAAAAATCGCATCCATAGATCTTTTATCAAAACACGACAACCAAATCCCTCCTGACGCCAGTGAACACCGAGTTCCGTCAAAGTACAGGTATATGACCACATGCATGCAATCGTTTGAAATCAGAAAAGCGCCGTCAGCCCATTGTAGCTCAACATTCCGTCTATTGCGAACGCTGGTAAACACCGACAACCATGGCGTGGTCACGCTCAAAGGGCTCAAGGGTGAGCTGCTCCTTGGGCTTGATGCCCATCTCTCGTAGCTTGTTGACTTCCTGTGCGAAGACGGCCTCGGGAGCAGCGGTGGAGTCGATACAGTTGGCCTTGATGGAGATGACGATACCACCTCCAACCTTGAGGAAGAGTCCGGCGTTGAGACCGACGATACGGGCTTGATCGGGCTGGGCAACGTCGGCGAAAATGCAGTCGACCATGCCGACGAGCATGCGGTACTTGAGAGGGTGACGGGCTGCGAATTGTTAGCGAATGTCATAAAGATGGAACGCGAAGTACATACCATCCTCAACGATGGGGATGACGTTGGTGCGGTGGGTAGCCATGTTGATCAGATCACGGCCGGAGCGGTGCGAGAACTCAACAGCGAAGACGGTTCCCTCAGGTCCAACGATATCGGCAACGTGGGAGACTGATGTTCCGGAAGCGGCACCGAGGTACAGAACCTTGGAGCCAGGGCCCATGTAGATGTTGTCGACACCACCCAAGATACCAGCGGCCAACTTGGAGCGGAAGGGGTTCCAGACACGGTACTCTGTGCTGGAGGGGGCTTCGGTCTCGCCGTCCTTGGGCGCGGTGCTGGCGCCAACGCTGATGCGCTTCTCGCCGTAAACGGACTCGCCGGGGGTCAAGTTCTTGGTAACGAGGAGATCCTCCTTTCCGCGAGCGACGAAGACACCGGCGTGACGATGGCTAGAGAAGTGGTCAGTAGCTGTCTTGCGCGCTTTTGAGCTGGCTGGACTTACGGCTCAACAATGACCTTGGCGCCTCCACGCGCTCCTCCACGGGCACCTCCTCGGGGCGCACCACGGCCTCTTGGGGCTCCGCGACCACGAGGAGCACCACCACGGCCGCCACGGTCACCGCCGCCGCGACCTCCGCCGAAGCCACCACGTCCACCCCTGGGGGTGAAGCCACCACGACCGCCACGGTCACCACCAAATCCACCACGTCCGCCGCCGCCACGACCGCCTCTGTGAGAAGTTAGAACTGCGCTGCAGATAAATGTTCGTATGTGAGTACGGAGAAGCTCGTAGTTCCTGGATCATTCTGAAAACAGCTCAGAAAGAACAAGCTTCTCCGTAGCGTTGGACGCGCATGCTGAGCGAGCAGACGTCGAGATATGTAGTATCTGCGATCACATCTTGCTCAACACGCCGCGGTTCGCGCATTGTTCATATTGCGATGGTGTCTCGAGACTTGCGGAAGTCGTACCTGGGAGTGAAAGCCATTGCTGAAAGTTGTCGGGATAGTTCGAGTAGGTTATGGAATGCGAAAGCTACTGCGCAAGGTTAGTCTTGAGATGGCAGAATACAAATATCAGCCCAAGTACCTCTAGGTGCTCTGTTCCACTATATGCGCGTTGACTGTGCGCGTTGAAGTGGCTGTGGGTACGGTATGTCGCGGTAGATGCGATGGGTGCAGCTTTGAAGTTCGCAGAGCTACATTTTTTCAAAAGTAGCGCCAAATCTGCGCAGCCAATCACGTGCGGAAGGCGCAAGCGGCCCGCTATAATGCCGTGGGCGCGACTTTGGCTTTTTTCGGTTGGGTCTGCGACTTAGTCATCAAGGCCACTTTCGCTCGAGAAGTCGTCGAAATTACCTACCACGTCGGCAGTCCACTACTAACAACAGCACAACTCGACAAAATGGTACGTTGCCCGTCGCGATATACTGTCGGATCTTGCACGCACGAACATGGAATTAATTCTTGCAGGTTCGCTACGGTGCCTCCTCCATTGACGGCGCAAAGTCTGCTCGCGCCCGCGGCAGCTACCTCCGCGTATCCTTCAAGAACACCCGCGAGACCGCCCAGGCTGTCAACGGCTGGAAGCTCGACCGCGCCCTTACCTACCTCGGAAATGTCCTGGAGCACAAGGAGGCTATCCCCATGAGGCGGTACGCCGGCAGCACTGGACGCACTGCTCAGGGTGAGTAGCCCTTCCCACGATTCGCACAATGCGCAAATGGACTTGGCACGGGAGGAGGAGCTATCTGGTGTTGGAGATGGAGTTATGTTGGCAATTGCAGGAACACGGGCTGACTTCCGCAGGCAAGGCTTTCGGTGTCTCCAAGGCCCGCTGGCCCGTCAAGTCCGCTGAGATCCTCATCGGTCTCCTCAAGAACGCCGAGGCCAACGCCGACACCAAGGGTCTTGACACCAGCAACCTGATCATCAAGCACATCCAGGTCAACCAGGCCCCCAAGCAGCGAAGGCGCACTTACCGTGCTCACGGACGTGTATGTACACACCGGTCCACAATTGCACTCCCCTCTAACATACCTAGATCAACCCGTACATGAGCAACCCCTCCCACATCGAGCTCATCCTCACCGAGGCCGCCGAAGTTGTCCAGAAGTCCAACCAGACCCTTGAGCGCCGTATGAACTCCAGGCAGCGTGGCCGTGCCGTCCGCAAGGCCATCACTGCTTCTGAGGAGTAGAGGAAGCAGGGGAAGTTGATGTTCCGGCGAAGAAAACGGTCAAGGCATGGGCACGGTTTGGGAGTCAATGAGCGATGAATATTCAGGGTCTTTCCACACTCGTCATGTATTCATGATATGGCACTTCGATTTCTGCGGTGTCTGGTCCGTAAAAATAAATAGGGCCAAGGCCTGTTCCCAAATGTTCAAAGCCGAGACTTCCAAGTCGCAAGTTCACGATGTTCGCCAGTGTATTTGATTCCTCTACGATGACAGGACGCTGAATGATCCCAGCGGTACATCTCTCCCAAGGTCCGGCCGCAGTCATCAACATGCTATTTCTTACAATGGAGCCAGTCCTCTACGCGTTCTCAGAACGAGCTCTGAAGGAATGCGCTGCTTGTTCACATTCTCATAAGTACGACCAAGGATTTCAGGAATGTTACTAGAGTGAATTTGCGGTACGACGTAGAGGAACATGGGCTGCTTTGACCAACTATGAACGCATGTCAGAATTGACCTCCACATGCATCGATAGACCCTGAGATTCTAAGATTTCCCGTCGTGCGCCTGGGGCTGACCGCAGGCTGCGCTACTCTCAACATGCGTTAGCGTGATTGTGAACTTTGGCAGCTCGAACCCAGAATACCAGCTAAGCAAGGCCCAACGGCCAGCTAAGCATGCATGCCGCTAATATCTGAGATGAGGCTGGCTGCAAATCCCACATCATTTCCTTCGAGTCAGTTGCGGTCAGATACGACCTCTTGCCTTGCTGCAATTGCTCCGAGCCAACTTTCCCACGATCGATGACGCAGGCCCAGCAAGCCCAGGCATGGGCATGTACCTCGCCACAAAATGTGTCGAAAGATAAGTAGTCATGTATAGACTGGGATCTATCTGCTGTCACACATCTTTTTATACAGATCTCTTTCTTTACTGGTAACGGCAGTCGTTCTTACGTGCATCACTGCATACCAGTCTTCACCTCGCACCTACTACACTACCATGGCTCGGCTACACCAATCCACTCGCCACAGGCGGCAACCCCCATACCTCGCCTCTCTCTACGCACTCTTCGCTACCGCCGCATATGCGCAAGACTCAAAACGCGGTTTCGCATTCATCGGCGACTCACACGTACCGGACAATCGGCTACTTACTTCCGACAATTCACCACTGGCATGGTACTACAACTGGTCACCATATCCGAACAGCGACCTCATTCCCGCGGACAGCCTAGAGTTCGTGCCTATGATTCACGGCATAGACGCCACGGAAGACGATAATACCGAACGCGTGATTGCAGGCTTGCCCCAAAGTAGCAAGCACCTTCTTTCCTTCAACGAACCAGACGGCACCGAAGGAAGTGGCGGTAGCAGTATCAAGCCTGAAGATGCTGCGAAAGCATACATCGACTTCGTCGTGCCATTTCGGAATGGCGATAAAGGTGGCAGGAACTGGTTGATCAGCCATCCCAGTACGACGGGTAGTCCAAATGGTCTTGACTGGTTACGGAAATTCAACGAGTCTTGCTACGACATTGACTCCGAGAACGGCTGCCCGGCAGATTTCGTCGCTGTACATTGGTACGGCGCTTTCGATGGTCTGGCAGGCTGGCTAGGCACCTTGGATGAGTTCTACAACACAAATTCGACAAGAGATCAGCCGTTGAAACTTTGGATTACTGAAATGGCGCTTCCACAGCAAGACGAGGAGAATACGGTGGGCATGATGAATCGCACACTGCCATATCTCGATCAGCTGGATTACGTTGAGCGATACTCATGGTTCGGTGCTTTCAGGACAGACGATGCCAATGAATGGACAGGCGATGGCGTCGCGCTGTTTGATGACGATGGCGGCTTGACTCAGCTCGGTGCTCTGTACCTGGGTAATGGATTCGAGGAGGGACAGAAGGGTGAGGGCGCTGAAGAGGATGCGGCGAGCGGGCTGAGGGTCAGTGCTGGTCTGATGGCTGCATTGTCGTTGTGCGCGGCCGCGTTTACGATGCTTTGAACGATGTATATGATATGTTTCCTTTTACTGTAGATACCTTAGCGAGTCGTATATATCACCGATAACATGTAGTAATGATTTTGACTCAAATGTTTGATGCCGTGTTGCGCGCCTTCTAGTGCGGCTACCAAATATCCGGTCGGATCCGGCAAAGTTCACGAACCCATCCCCTCCATCCAACTGCACACACTCACGACAACTCCATCACCTAGCGCACATACTGCACTAATGAGGATGCATCTGCAGGGCCCGAGGAATATTTCGGGGTAGTAAGAGGAATTCGCGAACGAGTACTGAACTGCTGCAGACAGATTGCCGAAAGAAACGTATGTCGCGTCGCGATGTGCCTCTTACCACGTTTCACGCCAAGCCATTGTAGATCTGTCGAAACGAGCCAAACACTTCATGTCAACCACTCAAACACCAAGTACTTCGATGCGAACCCACAAAACCAAGGGTCTTTGGTCCGGGAGCTATGATCCGATTCGCTGCTCTTGCTGCAACACCCGAGACACCACAGCCCGGAGAACCATGTGCCTACCACGTCAAACAAAGTATTGACCAAGCTTTCTCAAACGCGAGATAAGCTTTTCTTGACTACGGCGCTTATAGGATACAGCCGCGACTAATACGTTCAGTAGTCTATTTCTGTACCGGCACACGTTGTTTCCTTTGTCGCCTGCATAGCCTCACCCTGTTTGAGCCTTGGCGGCTATCCCGTCCTGGTGCGCAGGAGATCCATATCGGACACGAATATTGCCGAACACGTGTGGCGCGACGTGAACTGCTTTAGTTGGCTATCCACATCAAAGAAGTTTGTGGTGCAGCGCGAATGTCAGATGGGAATAGTGGGACAGGGTGGGAGGCTAAGTCAAGGAAGAGCTGCATCCGTTGACCTGGGCACCCAGAGACGATACGAGGGGACGGTTCATGTATAACAACAAACATGTGCCTTAGGCTTCAGAGTATCACCTCAAATCCCTTGTTTCGTTTCCAGTATTCTGTCTGATATACGTCTTCCTCCCCTGCACCGATCACTCAAGTCTCATTCATTCATCCAACCACCACACAACATGCGCTTCTCAATAATACCGACCGCAGGCCTCCTAATTACCTTGGCATCCGCAGCACCACTCACGAAGCGCGACTACTCTCCCTTCCCACTAGTAAACGGCTTCCCAAACCCCTCCCAAGAAGCCGTTCTCCAAATCCAAAAAGACGGCCACGGCACCCTACCCAACGGGCCTCCACCACCCACCCTCAGCCCCGATGGCACCACAAACCTCAAGCTAATCGCGCTCAACGAACTCTTCGAAGTAGCCTTTTTTACCGAACTGATGAGTAACGTCACGAACAAACTCCCCGGCTACGACCTCGGCGACCGCCAAGGCTACATAATCGAATCCCTCAAAGCCATCGTAAATCAAGAGGAAATGCACGTCCTCAACGCCAACGACGCGTTGAAACACTTCAACAATGCCCCAATCGAAGGCTGCAAATACAATTTCCCCGTCGTCGACTACGAAGGTGCCATCGCTCTCGCAGCAACGTTTACAGACCTCGTCCTCGGCACTTTACAAGAAGTATCCGAACTCTTCGCCCGCTCCCAAGATTTCGGTCTGGTACACGCAGTAGCATCCGTAATAGGAAATGAAGGCTCACAAGAAGGTTTCTTCCGCGCGGAGCAGAAGAAGCGGCCAAGCGCCCAACCCTTCCTCACATCCTCATCCCGCGATTTCGCATTCACTGCTATCCAAGAATTCGTCGTGGAGGGCAGTTGTCCGAACATCAACACCATTCCACTGAAGCGCTTCAAGCCTCTGGCGGTTGAAACAAAAGATATCAAAGCTGAAACTCAAAACATCAAATTCTCGTTCTCGATGAAGGACGCGGGTATGTTTGAGATTGATATGCTCAAGTTGGTTTGGATTAATGGGCAGAATGTACCCGTTGTCAAGGCGCTGCGGAATTTGGAGATGAAAGATGATAGGGTTATGTTTGAGGCGGAGTTTCCGTTTGAGGAGTTTGTTATGGAGGGGTTGACGATTGCGGCGGTGACGATGGGGGCGGATGCTTTTGCGGGGGCGGGGGAGGTTGCTGAGAAGACGGTGTTTGGACCGGGGATTATTGAGCTGGATTGAGTGGTGCGGTGGGGCTTTTTTGTGTGCATAGCGATGGTGTTGGTTTTTACGCAGAGGATAGTGGTTCTGGTGTGTAGATAATTGTAATGTCTTGTGTAGCTCGTCTAAAGCCCTTTATACCCCCTCATTAATGCCTTTCACTTGAATTTTCGACCGCCCAGATCGCCTAGACTTCCCTTCACAACTCACTCATAGGCTTCGCCAGCAAAGTCCTAAAATCAACCGTTTCCCTAAAACTCTTCAAAAACTCTCTCATCGTACTCGGCAATTTCGGTTTATGCCAAGTCCGCATGATGCTCATTATGTACTCCTCATCAGGCACCCGATTTCTATTCAAATAGAACAGCGAATTACCTAATGGCATCCAAATAGCCATGATACCCGTCACACCGAATTGTTCCTGGAGGAAGTAGTCGACTGACTTCATAATCATGCGGGCAAACGGTCGAGGGTGCGGGCGATCGGGATGCGAAAGTGAGGTATCGGTGTAAAGATTGATGCCGCTTGCGACATCGAGGGTGGAGTATAGGAAGAGGGCTGTCAACCAGTAGCGTACTGTGACACAAGCAATGTCTATGCTGGGAAAGGTGATTGGCGTTGCGTTGCTAACAATCTCGGGTGTGTAGATGGCGTTCGCTTCTGCATTGACCCAAGCTTCAAGCTCGAAATGGAGTGTCCAGCATTTTGCTATGGTGTATACTTGCAAACCTTCTCTTTCTTGCTCGCTCAGATTTCCGAATTGTAACTTGTCTATAGCGCCCAGAAGCTCGGGTATACCGCAGAGGATGTCGATGAGAACGTCGTCGGATGACTTGGTCCGCCCTTTCCAAGGTATCGTCTTCCACTCTTCCTCGTTGAGTATGGTTGGCTTCCTGCCGCGGATGGCAGGACCAAGCAGTCGGTATCTTGCATTAGTGAAGAGCCTATGCGCTGCGTCGTTTTCCGCGAAGATCTCCGGACCACGGCTGACTATCATAGCTAGCTCGCCTTCACAGTGACTGAGCCAGCTTTTCGCCTGGTTGGTCGTATTCGGTTCCGCGCCGAACAGCATATCGAAGAGAGCCATGACTCGCGGTACAACAAGTAGTGATTCGCTACTCGCTCGAGCAGGGTTTTGTAAAGCCACGGCTGTTTCCTTGAGCGCTTTCCCATACAGTGTCCTTCCTTGCCGCGTGAGAGCTTCGTTATCCGAAGTTACCCCAAGCTGTGTTATGCCAACTGCCAGAGCAGCCATCTGTAATGCTTCATCGCGCGTGCTAAGCAAGGGAAGCAAGCTAACAAACTCCTTTGCGTCTGTGTTGGTGGTGTGGATTACGCCCTGCGGGTTGTACATATTCAAGAAAGTCGCCATAGTCTTCTCGCTGTAAGCGGATCTCGCGAGCGCATCGGGCAGCATGATTGGTATCGACATGGAACATGGTTTCTGTGTTCCTGGAGTCGATACAGGGTTGAATTGCATTATCTGCATGCCTTGCCGAGGTGGCTGTCCGGGAGACTTCTCAGGCGTCGCATGGCGTCCTAATTTTGGTGCAGAACGGGTAGGTCCGCTTCCTTTTTGGTAGATGAAGATGCGGTCCGAGTCGTAGCCTCCGCATGCTATCCCGCGTTCTTTGCATTGACCGCACTCAGGCTGGACTAGATCGCACTAAAACACATCAGCTTCACGTCTTGGGTGTTGCTCGTAGGCGCTCGCACTTACGCCCTTCTTTCTTTTTCGGCACGTCACGCAGCCTTTGGAGCGTCCTGGAACTCCCACCATCTCGTAAAGTTAGAGTTGACGCATGCACGATGGATTTCGTCCGCTGTCACTCCTGTTCAGCGCAGAATGTTCCCTATATGGACATACATCGTCTGCCTGCTAGCGTAACGGTAAAGAAGCGCAATCTCGTAGGGCTGTGAAGCGCCTGTAGTAGCTGTAGGGCTAGCTATTGATTGGTGCGCATTTGTCTATGACGACGGTCGAAATGCTTGGGAGGTGGCTTGTATGACTTCCACGTTGTTAAGCATCAGGCGTTCCACTATGTCATCTCAATCAACCAATGACAGTCTCTCACGCGTTACCCTTTTCAGTTGATTCTGCGACAACTCGCGCTGCTGCAGAGGGGCCCCAGCTTTCACCGCAGAAAACTCGGGGTAGATCGAAGTAGCCATGCGATATCTTGATTACCATTGCGATCTCATCGAAGCCTCCCTCATCGGCCAAGAATCTTCTGTCGCATGGGGGACCCTTTGCGGGGTCACTGCGCGCTGGGTACCTTCCGCTGACAAAACGTCTTCTCCTGCATACGAGCGCGAAATGTTCTCAACGCGGCATGGTGATCGTCTGCACAGTGTGTGGTCAACTGGTATAACATGAAGCCAAATCTCTCTCGAAGATGGCATACAATCAGCAACAATCATCACCTCGACTACCTTCAATCAACTGCTACCTCAAGCACTACAAATAAATCGTCTCCATCAACTACACTACCACTACCTACCAAACCACACTCCTCTCCAGGGTTTCGACATCAACCACCAAAATGGTCGACTCAGCACCCACCCCCAACTTCTTCACCAAACGCATAATTCACCCCCTCGGCTTCACAAAAACCTACAACTTCTTCCTCTACTTCATTTTCGGCGGCGCACTCATCGGCTTCGCCCTAGCCCGCCTCTCCTACCTCGACTTCTCGCGCAACTTCTGCCCCTCTTCCGGCCCCAGCTCCAGCGGCAACGGCGCCGCACCAGGAGAATGCTACTACTACCTCAACTTCAGCCAGTACAAAATCGGAATCCTTCTGCATCTCGCTGGCGTGCTACCGGCTAGTCTGCTCGCTGTGCTGCAATTCACGCCGTTTATTCGAAAGAGGTGGATTATCGTTCATCGCATCGGCGGGTACGCTGCACTCCTGCTGTACATCGTCGGTCTCGTTGGGGCACTGATGATTGCGCGACATGCATTCGGCGGCGGGCTCGATGTACAGGCTTGGGTTGGGCTCGCTGGACTGGCATCGCTGGGCTGCTTCATCGTCAGCTACATCAACGTCAAGAGACTGCAGATTGAGCAGCATAGAGCATGGATGCTGCGAGGCTGGTTCTACGCCGGCAGCATCATCACGACTCGACTTGTCATGATCATCGCCGCGCAGGTCATTGCTAAGCAAAACTACCACGTCGTCTGGTCCTGCGCAAAGCTCGCTGCAACAGTTGCCAGCAACGTGGATCTAGCGTCTTCGTACCCTGCTTGCGCGGCTTTTGTCAACGGCACGGATCTAGAGGCTGTCTCCAGCGTCGCAGCGACGTTTGCGGTGGGAGGTCCGGAAAATACTGGGGCTGCGCTGAATGCGGCGTTTGGTATGGCGTTGTGGGTGTCGTTCGCGCTGCACGCTTTTGGTGTAGAGGTCTACTTGCAGCTTACCCCCAAGGAAGCGCAGCGGTTGAGGCAGATCAGTTATCAGAGGCAGTTGGAGGCTGGTATGCGCAACCCGGGCTCTGCGGGTCTTACGGCGGATCGCTTGGGGGATGCGGAGAAGTGGGTTCCGGCAGAGACCAAGGAAAAGACCAAAGAAGATGGTGCGAGCATGGCGAGGACTGAGTCGACCGATTCCAGCGCTGATTTCCGGGTGTTTTAGAATAGCGTACAGCATTTTGTTTTTCGATTAGAGTGAAATTCCGGGAGCAAGGCGTTAAAAAAGTCGTTTGTGTAGACCATTAGTTTATAATTTATAGAATCATTCAAAACTTCGTTCCCGAGTTTTCTTTTTGGCGATATCGATAATTCATCATTCATCATGTCTAGCGATCCAACATCACCATCCGACCAGACCGCTCACCAAGGCAGCTGAAGAGGAGTAGACAGCTTGCTCTTCGGCCCCAACACAGGTTCAGCAGTACCAATATCACTACATTCCATATTAGCTCACTTCCACATATCTCAGATCAACAACAACTTACCCAGGTCCCCTCGGCGCCCAATACTGTCCAGTATGACTAATATCAAACGTCTCAATCCACTCCACCAGGCTCTCCGCCGCGACCTCAGGTTCAACCGCCCCTCCTTCATCCCAGAACTTATCAAAGCCCACATTACGAGTCATTTCCGTCCGCATGAAGCCCGGATGAACGGAGACAACCGCAATGCCCCTATCTTTCAAATCTATGCTCAACAACTTCATGCACATGTTGAGTGCTGCCTTGCTAGCATGGTGACCGTAGTTGCCGCCGCCTTCAGATTCGTGTCGCAGTGTTATACTGCCGCTTTCGGATGAGACGAAGACGATCTTGGAGGCGGAGGAGAGGAGCGTGCTGTTGTAGTTTGCGAGGGCGGTAACGAGGATGGTGGGGCCGATGGCGCAGGTGGTGTACATGCGCTGTTGCGCGGAGAACGAGGGCTCCTTAAGCGATTCTGTCTTAAAGTATCCTGCTGTTATGATGACGATGTCCAGATGTGGTATGTGGTTTGATTCAAGAAAGTGGACGAGATCGCTGCCGACGTGTGGGGATTCGAGATCGACGTTGGGGATGTATGTTATGTTGCTTGCTAGAATGGGTTAGTCCAATAGAGCATCTCCAAGGAGTAGGAATTCGCCTACTGTTCTCTGGAGGCTCTGACGCCCTCGCGGTCGCTAGAACATGGTTGTTCGCGTCTGCTGCGTATTTTTGTACGATGCTCGCACCAAGGCCGCGCGTTGCGCCTACAACGAGTATGGTAGGCATCTTGGTGGTAGGAATGAAAGAACGAATGCTTTGAGATCATGAATAGAAGTCGAAGAGGTGAGATACAGGTCTTTGGATAAAGGATTCCAATGACGTAGGTGTGTGTTACACAAGTGTGAGATTGCGCTAAGATAAGGACGCGTCCCGAGGTCGCGTCAAGAAAGAACGCTCACCTTCCTGTAGCTCCGCTTCAAGATTCGGCTGAATGCATAGTAAGATTCCTGGGCTACCTTAAACCGGGTGCCCTTGTCAACACAGTCTGGTCATCAACTGAGAGAGAACCAAAAACCTGTCAAAACCAAGTAACCCAGAAGTCTACATGACCACAGGAATGTGCTCTCTACGTACCAACCTCAAAAGCCCCCTCGACCAACCCCCAAAATTCCTCAACAATCTCCTTCTGCCCCTCTCCTCCTCTAACCGCCATGTACCTCTGCCCCTCCACCTTCGGGTCCCAATTACCCGGATTCGCATCCACCATAATGCCGCCCGCCTCTTTCAAGATAACCCACCCGGCACAAACATCCCACGCCCAACATCCGGCCTCCCAATAAACATCCAACCCACCACTCGCCACACCACACAGATTGAGCGCCGCAGAACCAAACGACCGCAGTCCATGCACCATACCCCCGCCATTCTCTTTTGTAGCAGCGAGCTTCTTAAAAGTTTCGCTCTTGACCTTGAAATCATTCCCACTCCTATCACTGCCCCACTCCACCGCAACAAGACAACTGCTCAAGCCATCCAACCTCGTCGGCTCGCTCAGCGGCAGTCTCGTCGTCTCATTCAAGTATGCACCCTGTCCCTTGATCGCTGAGTACAGCGTTTGTGTAAACGGGTTGTAAACGATTCCCACCACCGGCTCCCGGTTTATGGCGAGCCCCAAAGAGATGCTGACGTAGGGGTAGCGGTGGACGAAGTTTGTGGTACCGTCAATGGGGTCGCATATGAAGGTGGGGTCGGCGGAGAGGGTGTCGCCTGGCTTGTAGGTTTCTTCGCCCATGAAGGCGTAATCTGGGTATTTCGTGGAGAGGGAGGTGGAGATGAGGGCTTCGACTGCGCGGTCGGTTTCGGTTACTAGGTCGACAGCTGTGGGGTGAGGAGGGTTAGTATGGGAGGTTTTCTGTGGATTGAATCGGGTTCTGGGATGATGAGGTGCTACGTACAGTTCTTCTTTGAGCCTGAGCCTTGTGTTGTGGGTGTTGCGGAGGTGATGCGCGAGCCGGCTTGTTTGGCGATGGTGATCATGAAGTCGTGGACTTCTTTGAGGTTTACGTCGGCCATGCTGATTGTGTTTGTCGTCTTCCTCGACGGCTTCTGTTGTGGGGAGAGAGAATTGAGGTTTGGAATGTTAGTGGAGAATGCTGAAGCTGTGTTATGTTGTGTTGTATAGCTCCCAACCGCCAGAGCTACCTAACTACCCCTCGGTGGGGCAGCAGCGGGATGCAGGGCCCGCCACGTGGGGAAACGGCGGCCTCCAGCGGATGGCATTGCGATGTTTACCCTAGTTTCGATCCAAAGATAGAGAACCTCATACTGTGAAGAAACTAAACCAATTTGCAGTCTACATCAGCATGAAGTCAACGTAGCATATGTGTAGTCGTGAAGGGCGAAGGGAAAGAGAACATATCAAACATCACATCAACATCAAAACAAAATATAGCGGCGGCAAAGTTGATTTCTCATTACCACCACCGCTCCAGATCCTCCACAGCAAGTCTTCCATTCCAAGCGGTCCGGACCAATTAGTCACCGCATCGGACACGTCTCCACCAGAGAGCGGTGTCCTCCAGCACGATGTCTTCCTAATCCACGCAGCACCAATGCGTCATGAAAATGAATGTCCCCTTCTTATTCCCTTTGATATGTTCGTACAACAAGCCTTGATTCCCAAAAGCACAAAACAAAGGAAACGCAGTTTCGTCGTCGTCGAGTACTCCTCTCTGCAAGCAGAGAAGGGGGAAATAGGTTCGTTGATGTTGTTTGTTCGTTGGAATTAAGGGCCAAGGGGGGACGCGATGGGGGTAAGCAAACTCCACTAGTTAAAGAGAGCGAGCAAGATGAGATAAAGATGAGTTGGGATGATACAACGGTACGCCGAGGGAAAGCAGGGAGAATGGGTATTACTCCATGTTTTTGTGATTGTTTTCACGTTTTGTCGCGGGTCGGCAATTTGGGGTGTGCGAGCGGAGTGTGGTTTGGCAACTTGGTGTGTACTCCGGTGTTGTATGCGAGTGTGTGTTTGTTTGCGGGTGTTACGGTGACGGGTAAGTGGGTGTGCGAATCAGAGGTCTTTAGATGGTCCTGGGAGTGCCGCGGGCGCTGGCGCTGCGTGTTTGTCAGTATGAAATTAACATCACGGGGAAACACAGTTTGCAGGAACTGAACAGGAAAGATGCGCAAGGCGTACCTCGCGTCCACAAGATCATCGACATGATTGCACATAGCCACGAACAGGTCAAAGAACAGTTTTCCCCCCATCTCCATCTCCATCTGCATGGTGCCACTACGCTTGAAAGTTTTCCGACTGCGGATAATCAGAGCGAGGTAATGAGCGCGCAGCCGCGAGTCGCTGTCCGGCGTGTTCTCGTACGCGTAGCGTGCGCTGCGCAAGATGGTTCCGACCTCGATCCCGCTCTGCAGGCCCTGCTTGCGCAAAGAGAGCTTCTTGAGCTCTTCGAGGCCGTAACTATCGGCTGCGCAGTACACGGCTGTGTCGCGCAGAATGACGTCGCCTACGCCGGAGTGGAAAAAGGTTGGCTCGACGGCGGCCGCGCGGTCGCCGGTTTTGTTTGGGTCGGGTGAGGCAACTGCACCTTCGAGCATCCAGGTTTGGCGTCGCTTGTCGTGGACAAGGCGCGGGTAGTAGTCACCTTTGTACAGGTACTCGAGGATGCAGCTGAAAATCTCAGGTTCCTCCGTGGGCAGATCGATGCGGCGGTTAGCGGATTCGAAGAACTGGCCCCGCAGCAGTTCAGCAAAGTACGGGGAATGACAGAGGACGTCTTCGTGCGCGGCGAACAGTCGCTGGTCGGAACCAACGATCACTGTCACAATGGCAGAGGTGAGCGATGGTGACCCACCGTCCATCATTGGACTGTCCTTGCGCGCATCCAGCTTCTCGACCATCACCTTCTGCTTGGACGCATCGCGGAACGATCTCTTCGGCTGTTTGGTAATCTTGCCTGAGCGGTCTTTCTCCTTCGAGCTAGCGAAAGAGCGTTTGCCGAACATGTTGACCGAAGAGCGGAATCGAAGTAGCGAGCGACGAAGTTTCTCGTAAAGAGTGGACAGGTTAGTGACGCAGCAGCAAGTAAGAGAAATGGAGCTCCGGAAACTCTCAGATTTCGCAAACCTTTCGGGAGAGAAAAGTCGTTGAAAATCCGAAGAGCTTAAGCGAGTCTACCAACACTGGTGGTGAAGATAAAGCACGCTTTGGTTGTCGAACTCAAGCTTGTCGTGAGGCGTAAAGGCTGAAGATTGTGGGGTTGCGGCCTGTTAAATACTGGCGATGCCAAGTCGCCGCCCCTGTCGCCTGGGACAACTAGCGCTGGCACGCTGGGCTGTGTCACGCAGAGTGTTATCGCTATTCGCCAATTGCTGCATGCGAGCTGCAGTAGATATCAGGCTGCGAGGCGCCATCATTGATTGTTGTGAGTGCTCATTCGAGGCTTTCCCAAACATGGAAGACGATGGATTTCTGGCTCGAGGAGTGACGATAAGCGAGTATCAACGGCAAGCGGTATGACGTTGGACCTAGCAACGTCAATATGGAGCGCAGAAATAAGTTAGCATGGGCAGGGAAGTTGTGTTTGAATTCATAGCCGTTTTGATCGGGCCGTCAGGTGTGCGCGTCGCGTCTCTGTCGCGATGTAACGTGATCTGGGTGTTGGGCAGTTGGTGACTCACAACAAAAGTGAGTGTGCCTATGAGATGAGCCCAATTTCCAGTCTTGCAGCCCTGCATAGCGCATAAGTTTAGGAAGACGTCCTCCGACGGAGACAGAACCTAGAAGTAAGTTCGGAGCTCCGAAGTATAATGCAGCGCTTATGCGCTATGATGGTGCGTGAAAGCGTGAAAGCCTGCCTGCGTGCCTGTCGCAAGCTGTCGTTGCTGTCAGGCCCAAGCTGAAACACGATAGCTTGTCAAGCGGTCAAAACCACGTGTTCTAGACGGATCGCGAGGATGTGCAGTCTCGGAGATATACGTGCGGTATGGACCGGGGCGGCTTGATAAGATATCAGGACGGGGGTGCACCTTGATGTTCGGCACTCGCGAATGAGGCACCAGAACCGAGACGAGTGTTCCTTGGTGATGGTATGACGTCGTCACGTTGCTCGAACGTCAAGTGGAGTCCCAACGTGTCGCAGACATCTTTTGAAGAGAGACAGAGATGTAACTGGCAACGTGTGAATGCTAGCGTGATCCTGCTACCAGAACGTGTGCAGGCGATCGTCTACCGGGCCGCGTGCGGAGCTTTGACTAAGGAATCGAGGTCCCTCGTCATCCATAGGCAACTTTCCCCACATCTACAACCCTCTTTTCACGTCAATCACCTGCCACTGCACTGCATCCGCCTACCCACGAGCGCAGTTACGGTGTTGCAGTCTATCCTTACTCTCCGCACTTCCTTTACCTGTGCACCAGCTTCTGCCTGGCTACTTAACTACACCGCCTACCCCGGTGCAGTCCCAGAGTCTCTTGCACGAGACAGCCTAACCTACAAACAACTCACTCAACCAACCGTAAACATGAGCACCGGAGCGAAGAAGCGTATTATGAAGGCAAGCCACTATATGGAGGCCGGCGCAGAAGTTATCATACTAACCGGGCCACAGGAGTACGGCGAGTGCATGGCTGACACACCGCCGGGTATGAAGATCAACTTCGACGAGCAGAACATGACCAAGTGGGAGGTGTTGATGGACGGGCCAGCCCAGTCGGCGTACGCTGTAGGTTTGATCCATGCGCCCTCCGTGCGGCGTGGGTAGCGCTTGCTAACAGCCTGCAGGGCGGCCACTTCAAGCTCGAGATTACCTTCCCGACCGAATACCCCTTCAAGCCACCCGTCGTCAGCTTCCGAACCAAGATCTACCACCCCAACGTCAGCAACGACGACAAGGGGTCCATGTGCCTGGGTCTGCTGCGCGCTGACGAGTGGAAGCCGCCAAACAAGGTGGTGTCCGTCCTGCGCCTCATCCAGACGCTGCTCATCGAGCCCAACCCCGACGACGCCATCGAGCCGTCCATTGCCAACGAGTACCGGGAGAACCGCAAGGAGTTTGAGAAGAACGTAAAGGACTGGGTCAAGCGCTATGCCAAGTGAGGGGTCACGGGTCCTCTACCGGCCAGGCGGATATGGGCATCGATTAGAGTAGGCAGTCGCACAGGGCCCGTCGGATACATATTGCATCTTTGGCGTTCGGCGAAATTTGCACGCGGACGGAACACGTCTTGACCGGTGTGGGCGAAGAAGCATCCAATGTTTTGCAGATCGCGATGCATCCGCAGCTTAGGTAGGCATCGGGCGATTATGCAGGGTAGACTTACTCGGGCTCGCCAAATAAGATGAGTGCAACCGCAACATGTCGTCATGTCCCAATCTCCCAGCGTCGTCTGTGCCAGTGCTGTAGAAGCGAGCCGCAGGGCAGGACAAGGGGGAGCCTGGGAAATTCCTTCTCGAAGCCCGCAACAGGCTTCGACGCCTAGTGCACTTCCCAACTGAGATTGCTGCGTGCTTAGCTGTCAGCTGTCCAAGTTTATTCTCTATGCGAGTGGTGCTCGAGCGCAGTGCTGGCAGCGAGTGCAGGGCCAAGCTAGCGAGTCAAGCGCAACAAAGCGTGTGGCACGCGCCTCGCAAGTGTTCCAGCAAAGCAAATAGTGCATTCATGTAATCCGAGAGAGCCGGCCAACATGTGTGATGGCTGCGAGGACTTGTCGCCAGGGCACAAGACCGACTAGACAAGGCCGTCGACGGTGTATTGCTTCGTGATGACTGCACCCGGGCTGAATATCCCCGGCACCTCTGATAGGCCGGGAGCGCGTCAATTTCGCGAATTCCTGCTCGAGGCGGCGGGCGGTCGGTACCTGTTGCAGCGCTTATGCAACTCTCCTAATTTGTGCCGTTGCATGTCAGAGTAACGAACTCCTCTGACACGCCCGCTGAGGTCCACCAAGCTCCTACCGGCCCGCGACCTCCCAGCCTACAGGAATCGGGGATGAGGGAAGCGCCGCGTCTTGGCAGCGACTCAGTGAACGGACGGATCCAGGCGCGGGAGCTGAAGGAGACTTTCCTGCTACACGTTGCAGGCACCCATCCCTCACCACCGTCTGATTGCACCGCGCCAGTGCCGCACGTCACGTTCCTTATCCTTCGCATGCCCTCATTCTTTACCTGACCCCATTCACACCCAGAGCTCTGAAGCTCCCCACGTCGACCCGCCGCCGCGCCCCCAGAGCAGGCCTCCACCACCCAACCAACGCCCATTCACGATAATTCTCACATCCACACCTGCGCTGCACCCGAGAATGTTACCGCGAATTTCAACCTCCGAGCTGTCCTGTTCCCCGGTCGAATGAGCGCCCGTCCCGCCGACGCCCACCACACCCGCACCCCTTCACCACGCCATGGGCGACGCTCTCCTACGTGTCGCTACAGGCGTCTCTCCAGCAGCCGAGCCGGAGCCATACGTCCCCTACCGCTCTCCCACGGCGGAATACACGCCACCGACATCGCCCCAGCCACAGCTCCCGTATGCGGCGAGAAGAGGCTTTGGAGCGCACCGGGCCAAGCACCCAGCTGAGCTCCAGATGGACACAGCAGACGCGCCACTCTACGAGCGGCCCGCCTACAGCCCGTCACCTGCAGACAGCCCGACCCTTCCGCTTGCAGCACTGCCTTCCCCCGGCTTTCCCCAGCGCCATCGCGCTCCTTCCCTACTTCGCCATGCCGCCGTCCCTCCCCCTCCCAACGGCGTGCAAGCGGGAATGGCATCTGCCCCAATGTCCCCCATAATGGCTCCTGCCATGGCCCGCCAGGACAGCGGCCCTCGCTCGCCTGACCTCCGCGCTATTTTCAACCCGCTCGCCAGCAATCCCGTCAATTCGACCGGGCCGTCATGGGACTCTTCCAACGAAGACCTGTCTGGCTCACCCAGCTCCCCTCTAAGGCCCCGTGGAATGACCAACTCTTCGCAAAATTTCCATCCAACACCGCCTCTGAGATCCGTGACCTCGATCCCCGACTACGCCCAATACCGAGGCAACGAACGCTCCAATCTATCCGGCACCTACAAGCCGAACAGAGGTGTTCCGAACTGGTCCCACACTGACTACTACCCTCCCCCACCTCGACCGTTTCGTGGCGAGGAGCCACGGGCCAGTTTCAGATCCGGTTGGACCAATGCGTCTTCCAGTGTACTCGAGACTAGTGGCACGGAAAGAAGCAGTATTGTCACTGCACGGAGCTCCATCGCCAGTGATCGACACAACAGCGTCTATTCCCGGGATCCATCGAGAGATCGCCTGGAACGCCTTCGGGAACGCGACGGTTCCCCGGAAACTATACTGACTTCAGAAATCGCCGAGGAAGATGAGAATCTAGACGCCGTTGGTGATGTGTTAGATTCATATTACTACGATGAAGAAGATGAGGAGCGTAGTCCTATCATGGAGCAGGATGAACGAGACATGCACAGCCCCTCGCCAGCAGGTCTTGACGCGGAACTCCCCGAGCTGTCGCAAACGCCCTCTCGCGATTTTGATTCCCTGGACTCCTTTCAATCGAATGAAAGCCTCAAGCAATGGGATGATCGGACACGACTTTCAACGCACAGTAAACTTGGACGTAACGCGGATTCGAAGGAGCTGTTGACAATTCGTCCTCCTTCCGGCTCGGATGTGGACGAGGTATACAACCTCGATCCGACAGAGCGAAAGGCGCTGCGAATCGAATTACTGCCCTCGGTACAAGTGAGCCCGTTCCAGGCCGCATACACCCCACGAACAATCGAGGCCGCAACGCAACAGTCCAGAAAGAAGCGATCGAGCACAGTGAAACGAACAAGTGAAGAAGCACCGAGGCGTGTGTCTGTCACACTGCAAGCTCTTGCTCTCAGAACCACGGAAGCCAAGGGCCACCGCTCGAGTAGATCGATGGGTAGCCGCTCGCAGCTAGACCATATCCGTCGTGATATTTCCAATCTTCCACAACTGCCCCCAAGTCGGTCGCGAATGTCGCGCCAGGATTGGGCCAACATCGAAGCTTACTCCAAGCGACACAGCAAGAGACCAAGCGTCCCTCGCACTTTTTCCAGTGAATCTCTTGCCAGTTCCCATGTTCCTCAATCTCCGCCTATGCAAAGATCTGAGCCGCTCCCTGAGCTGGACGAAGACGAGGCTATTCCTCGTCGCGCTTCCACGAGTGTCTTCGACCGAAAAAGCGCACTGTTCGATCTTGGCATGATGTCTCAGCTCACGACAGCCAAGAGCAAGCCCGAGTCCCCAAGAGGCCCTACATTGGCACCTCCCAGCCAAATCCCCACCGTAATACCTGGCCTGCGAAAGACGGCTGCCCCTACCGAGAGAGATCGCTATGGATTCAAGAAAGCTTCCGATAAGATCAACGTGCAGGAGTACAACGCATGGGCTTCCAAATACGAAGACCACATCTCCCGCCGGAGAGGCAAATGGATTTCCTTGATGGCTAAGCAAGGTCTGTCAACGAATGAGCCTACTAGGTTCCCTGAAATGTGCGAGAAGGTCAAGCGCTATGCTCGCAAGGGCTACCCTCCTGAGTGGAGAGGTGCCATGTGGTGGTACTATTCTGGTGGCCAACATGTGCTTGCGCGAAAGGAAAATGTAGGCTTGTACAAGTCTCTGGTAGCTCGTGTCAACCGTGATGAGCTCAACAAAGACGACAAAGATGCCATTGAGCGCGATCTTGACAGGACATTCCCCGACAACATCCACTTCCGCCCGGAAGCAGCGACTGATCTACTGGATGGCGAGTCTGACGACGAACCAGTGTTGATCCAGGACCTGCGCGAAGTCCTATCTTGCTTCGCCCTGAACAACCCCAATATTGGTTACTGCCAGTCGCTCAACTTCATCGCCGGCCTTCTTCTATTGTTCCTGAAGCAGGACAAGGAGAAGGTCTTCATCCTTCTCACAATCATCACGCAAAATCATCTGCCTGGTGCTCACGCTCGCAGCTTGGCAAACACCGAGGTCAATGTCCTGATGATGTTGATCAAGGACTACCTGCCAAAGGTATGGGCATCAATCAACGACACCGATCTCATCAACAGCGGCGCCGGCTCCAACGCTCACCCCAACTCCAAGTTCCAACGCCAGCCCACAGTGGCCCTTTCTTGCACTTCCTGGTTCATGAGCATCTTCGTTGGTGTTCTGCCAATCGAAACGGTACTCCGCGTTTGGGACGCCTTTCTCTATGAAGGACCCCGTGCCCTTTACCGCTACGCCCTTGCCATCTTCAAGCTGGGTGAACCAGAAATCAAAAAGTACCGTCCTGGCGATGGCGAGATCTTCATGGCAGTCCAGACACTGCCCAGACGTTGCCTCGACCCCAACATCCTGCACGACCTGGCGTTCGTGAAGAAGGGGTTCGGCAACCTGTCACAGAACGTCATTGACCAAAAGCGCATGTTCTGGCGTGAACAGAACATCCTGGCGCACCAGACTTCGGTCAAAACCACAAACGGTCGGCGAATGCTTACCGTACCACAAGAAGAAGATGAAGACGACGATCGGGACAGCCTCAGGAAGGCCATGGGCATGAACCGCCTGCGCCGTCGCGCATCCCGCAAGTTCCGCCAAATGGGCATCAAGTGAAGGAGCCAGACTTCTCTCCGCCCACACCATCAACAAAGAATCAGTCAACCAACTGAACGTTCAGCACGAGTCCAACGTTTCTCGGCCGTGCCTTTCTCACTTACATATACGTTTGCAGCGTTTTATCTCCTCATCGTCCGGCGTTTTACCAAAAAAGAGAAGGTGGTCTATCTGGGTTACTTTGCTTTACCTTCTTGTATAATAATCACGATATACCCTTTTTGCGGGCGGAAGCTTTTCAACTTGAACGAAGGATTGTAGAGAGCTAGAAGGGATGGAGACGGGAGTGCTTGTCGCAAGCATAGCATCGCATCAGATGGACGTGCTTTTTGTTGGGTAATGGTTACGATGTTATGACCCTCATCAGTCAATCAATATACCCTGTTCGTCCTGCTTAGAAATACTTCGACTTTGCTGTATCTGCTTGCTGTGGATGAAGACCTGCTGCGGAAGGGTCCACGAACCAGCGCGCGCATGTGAATCACAACTACGTTTCACCTGATTGGCCCAGGACCAGATTGCGGGGCACTAATCCCCCACCATAGATTTTCGGCGTACGCCGCTCTAGCCTTGCCTACCTAAGTAGGTAACCATTTCTTGACTCTCCCGCGGGCGGACAGACTTTTTTTTTGCAAAAACAATTCCACACCTCCGTTCAACTTTGATTACACTCTTTACGCCTTGGAGATATTATCCAGAATACTACCGCGAAAATGGTCGAGAAGGTTTACGTCACATACAACCAGGTACGTTCTTTCGAGGTCCAATGTTACACATGCGATCAGACACCCCGCGCACGCACGCGCGTGAGGTGTCTCTGTGTCACCACGATTTTTACGACGCGAGGCTGGTGTCGCGCCATGCAGATGTTGCAGAAAGCGATGCTAGAGACTCAGTTCGTATCGTATCCATGCGACCACGACAATCGAACCCTTGCGCAACACGAAGCAGCAAACAAAGCACAAAGTCCACAGCTAACAACCCCCCTCCGCACAGGTGCACAAGCTGTGCCAAGAAGCCGCAGACCAAATCCTCAATGACTTCAAGCCCAACCTCATGATCGCCATCGGCGGCGGCGGCTACGTCCCCGCGCGCATCCTCCGGTATTTATATCCCCAAACCCCACACACACAAACACTGTACATACCAGACACACAAGAACTAACATACTTGTTTGACAGATCCTTCCTCAAGCGCTCAAACAGCCCCAACATCCCCATCCAAGCCATCGGCCTCTCCCTCTACGAAACCCTGCCCACAACCACAGACAAAGACGTCGAGACCCCGGGAACAAAAGTAACCCGCACACAATGGCTCGACCTGTCTTCTCTCGAGATGGCGAATCTGATTGGCAAGAACGTGCTTATCGTCGATGAGGTCGACGACACGCGCACGACGCTGGAATACGCAGTCAGGGAGTTGGAGAAGGATGTGGAGGCTGCGGTCAAGAAGCTTGGAAGGGAGGGCGAGAAGACGAATTTCAGTATTTTTGTCCTGCATAATAAGGATAAGGCGAAGAAGGGGGCGTTGCCGCAGGAGATTCTCAAGGGGAGGTATAGTGCGGCGAGGACGGTGGGGGATGTTTGGATTTGTTATCCTTGGGAGGCTACGTATGTCTTCTTCGCTCTCTTTTTACCTTTTCCATATGGTTTGGGATAAGTGCTAACAGTGATTTAGTGACATCGACGAGCATGACCGTCTTTCGAGGGAGCAGGAGGGCAAGCAATAGCTAGTCGTGTTTGTGTCTGCATCTGAGGAAGGATACGAGGGAGATTACGACAACGATGAAAGAGAAAAGTCTGCGTGACACTTACGGCATTCGATCGGTAGCATTTAACGGACGGATGGGATATACTGGAGTTTGAATGGATTGGATAGCAAGAATAGATATTGAATGAGCGAATGACTTGACATGAATGATCGTGCCAATCTAACGGGTTTACCATTTCACAGTTCAGATTCGTTATCGGTCATGGTCGACTGGTTGGTGAAGAGTTGATTGTAGTAGAGGTTTTGGATGCTATGGCGTGCGAGGTATGAGATATGGAGCAGGGTAATCTGGGTGCAGTAGAGAATTCGGAGTTGGTCAGCGTCCTGTTGTATGGAAAGTTACTAGGGTTTGCTAGAATCCCTATCGCAATTCCAAAGTTTGCGACACATACACTACTATATCTCAATGACTAGTCAGATTCTGAACGTAATGAAAGCTCCTGCCTCCGTCGTTCCAGCTCCGGCCCCCAGATCTCCTTTACACGGGCATATGGCCGAGACTGTAGCCACCCCTTGTAATGCGGTTGATCGAACCAAGTATCCAAACCCTTCAACACCTCAAGCTCTCCCTGATCAAAGAACGATCCACTCTCCTGTGGTTTCCTCCCCTCATCGTCGTCGTCGAAGCAGAGTATGTAGAATCTATTTCCCGCGTTTCTGATAACATAGTTTTCGTTCATAACAACGGGTGCGTTGATATCGAGATCGAGTGACTCGTCGTCTGTTGATTCAGACACGATGGGCTTGTAGGCTCTGCCGTTACTGGCGTCCTCAACCGCATTCATATCATGTTTGTCGGCTTTCCGGTCCATAAGCGCAATCGTGTCACGCATTTCGCCTTCGACGTCTCCGTCCCAGAATGCGGCATAGCATGTGTCCTTCCACCACGCCATGGCACCGTTGGTATCTGAGTATTCGGGGTGTTCGTAAAGCCGGGAACCCTCCCATACACTCATGTCCATTTCTTCTTCGTTGAATCGCACTAGGAAGGATGACTTGCCGTTGGTGTCTCGCATGACTATCGACAGTATGTTCTGCTTGTCGTCGACTGGGACAAAGGTGTTTGGATCACGGGAAAAATACGAGAGAGAAGTTACCCCGTGGAGGTTTGCGTGGTGTGTGCTGAGACACTCCCCGCTGTATGTGTAGCGACCGAACGCGAAGAACTGTTGGTGGAAAGGAACGTCATTGTTACGTGCGGCATTGGCAAATAAGATGATTGTCTGGGTCGCGGGCTGTATGATAGGAGCAATGCCAAGGGATTCGTTCTCGCTAGACTCTGATTAGCTTTACGTGCAAAGAATGCATAGAGTATCCCAGTGTTGGTGGATTCCTTGGCTTCAAAGGATACGAGCACCGCTCAGCAACCCCAGAGATTACTTACACGACATCTGTCCCCCAGAACATGTTACCGGGTTCGAATTTAATATCGAAGGATCTTCCACGCTGGGAGTCGTATTCCCAGATATACACCGATGCAAAACCGGAGTCGATATGATAACATGCGACAGTGCGCTCTCGACAGGCAACGCTGGCGAAATAGTTGTTGTTTGGTACTCTGAACTTCTTGCAACCGCGTTTGCCATGCAATTCGTGAACGTAGCAGATGTTCGCCCAGGTTGTTAGCGCCACAATCTCATTAGATACGAAGACGTCCTCAATTCGTTCACGGCCTTCGCCACCCAGAAAGCGAAGATCCCATGTAGCTAGATCGAGGACGCAAACATTTCGCGATCGGTTTTCTGGAGTGAAGGTTAGGCTTTGCCAGATGAGACTGTTTCCTGCTAAATAGATATCATCTATACTGTCTTCGGGTTTTATCTTGTAGACTTTGCGCGGCTTGCCGGAACGAAAGGCATGGATCTTGCGGGCTTTCTTCTGACACAGAGCGTGGTCGGCATCTTGGAAGTTGACAGTACCTTGGTACCAACTGTCGAGGCTTGCTTTGATCACGTGTAAGCTCTGAAGAGTGTGATTCCATCGTCTTGAGACACTTTGCAAGCGGTAAGGAGCAGCAACGTCTAAATGCGAGAACACCTGTGCCACTAGCTCAACGGGTAGATTGCCGATGACGTCGAATTGGAAGGTACGACTACTTGTCGTGGCGTGGAGTGTCCTCCATTCATATGGCGATAATTCCGCTGTTAGAGCCGTGAGTGCCTTTTCTCTCTCATGTACATGCATGCGTCGAAACGCGTCGATGAAGTCGGTAGCCATGCTGCTTTTTCTGCCGATCAAAGGCAGGGCTATCAATAGGATGGCGACTCGCCACCCGAGCGGTCGGTGACAGACTGGTGCGGTGACGGCAGGTGGTAGCGTCGGGGTAAAGCTAACGTTCTGCGTTGACGGCACCTGGGTTGGGCTGGGGAAAGTCGGTCGAGGCTGACTCGAAGGAAGGTTGGTGGTTGACGTTTATCCAAGGAGGTCTGTGCGTGTAGGCTGCCTGCAGACCCTGGACCCTCCCCTGGCTTACACCACGCGTGAAAGCCGAGGATGGCGCAGATGCTCGCGAGTCGTACTAGCAATGTTTGACCATGGGCAAGGGAGTCAGTCGGCTTCAACTGCCCGGCAGCATTTGAGGCAACTCTGGCGAAGGTTCGGTATTCTAGTCTGTGCCACTGCCCTTCCGCATCCGCAGCCGCATCACGGGCACTCGGGAGGAGCATAGGCATATGAGGCGCATTATATGCTGACCCCGCAGCAGAAACAGTTCGCGTTATAGTGATATTAGCGGTGGGTTATTATGGTCGAGCAATGTTTCAGTGTCTCGACCTGCAGCTGGCCGAGGGCAGGGGTCGCGGGCACATGCAACGTCGACAAGGAGCGACGTCTTTGCCGTGAGCTGCATGCCATTGCCCTACCATGGCAGCAAACCCGGACAGCGGGCCATGGGCTGTCAGCGGGCGTTGGGGTACCTAGAGCTACACAGTGCTGAGGGCGGTGATAGATAGGTAGATAAATGAAGATGACCATGTGTCCCCTCAGCGTTGGATGACACTTGGCTCGGCTGGTGGTGCGCTGTGGCCTTCAGATGCTCCCGCAGCACGCTCCCACATCGCGATCCCCCATAGTATTCTCAGCGGTAGCGCTACCGTTCCGCCCTCGACGCCCCGTGCCTGGACCTCCTTTCCGTCCGTAGCCAGTGTTGCGACACGCCGGCATATCTCGCCGCGCCTCGCAGCTTGCAAGTTCCCACGAACCTGTCTCCTCCTCCCTCCGCCAAGCCTCGCACGCTCAAACACAGTATCCCGGAGCATCTGGAATTGTCGTCGTCGTCAGCGCTCGGACCTGCCCCTCGGACTGCGCGAGCTCCTATTCCTCAGCGACGGCCGCTCCCGATCCGACAAAGGACCACTGGCACCGTCTGCCACGCCGACTTTTTCTGGAACCATATTTCTACGGCTCGCGCAGGCGCTAGAAGAAATCCCCAAGCCTAGGAAGCTTCCAAGACGCTCGCCCGCCGATTCGAAGCTTCTGCGGCGACGTCGGCCACACATATCGCATGCTCCTCCGCATCTTCTCCGCCCGCCCACGCTCGCTGCCACCGCAAGTCGGGACCCTGCATCCACCCGGCCTCAAGCATTTTTCGAGACACTTCTGAATCTCTGCGCCCATCGCACGCTGCTCAATTCCCTTTCCCCTGCGCGACCCCCGTGCGCCCGTCTCCACGCACGCAGCAGGCCTGACAGCTCAACACCACGCCTGCTCTCCACATCGCCCACATGGCTTCTGTCGCAGAGGCCCGCCGCAGTCCCTTTTCGGGCGACCCTCACCATCCCAACCTGCACAAGTCGATTCCCATCCTGCCCTCGTCGAGCCCGAGGCTTGCGGCGTCCCGGGACCCCATGGACATCACGCCCTCGTCGTCGAACATGGGCCCGCCCAACGAGCGCACCCAATCGGTCTCGTTCCAGCTGCCGTCGCAAAGAGAAGGAAACGGCGATTCGGAAAACACTTCGCCTCCCAATGGCAACACCGCGCCTGCAGTGGGCGCTGCCGCAGCTGCACAACAGCCCAAGGTCGTCCAGACGGCCTTCATACACAAGCTATACAAGTACGTGTGCCGCAACAGTACGCACGCGATGCGACACTAACACGACACAGCATGCTCGAAGACCAGAGCATCCAGCACCTCATCTCCTGGGCGAGCACTAACGAGAGTTTCGTCATGTCCCCCTCTAGCGAGTTCTCCAAAGTGCTTTCGTACGTACACCTGAAGCCACGGCCGCTTCAGGCTTTCTGACTAACATATCCCAGGTCCTACTTCAAGCACACCAACATTTCCTCATTTGTGCGCCAGCTGAACATGTACGGCTTCCACAAGGGTACGTGTCCAATTTCTTTCCGCCATGCCATAATCACATGCTGACTGTACCGCTGCAGTGAGCGACGTTTTCCACACTGGATCGCCAGACACTCCGCTTTGGGAGTTCAAGCACGGCAACGGAAACTTCAAGCGAGGCGATCTGGTCGGTCTGCGCGAAATCAAGCGACGTGCTTCTAGACATGCCCTCGTCCATCGCGAGTCCTTCCCCGCGCCCAAAATGCCCCTCGGCCCACCAGCTGGGCAGGCGGTCGACCCAATGCCGGATCCTGTCGAGTCACGTCTCCAGAGTCTCGAATATAACCTCCATGACATGCATGCGCGCATGCAGCGGTCAGAAGACACATGCGCATACCTTACTCAAAGGAGTTCGGTGCTAGCCGAGGGCATGATGAAATGCCACCAAGTAAGTCGATCGTCTAGACTCCAATATACAACAGCTAATAGATTATACAGTGGAATCAGGACCTTGCAAACCTCATCATGCAAATGGTGCCGGACCCGGAAAACCCTATCCATAGGGATGGTACGCGTCAATGCTCAAACCTTATCTGCGCGACACACACTGACTTTTGCAGTCGCCATGATGCAGCGTGAGATTGCTCGACAAACAGACATGCTCCGAGCATTGGAACCACCAGAAGATGCACCTCTCTCCGCACGCCAATCCTACTTTATGCAAGTAGACAGCAGCAACGGCCCACCCCTTTCACCCCGGCAAATGCCACAAGACAATCTAACAGAATCGCGGAGAGGATCCTTGGCGAACGTTTCACGGCAAGCTCCATACAAGGCTCCGATCCCGGCCCATCTTGCAATTTCTCCGCGACGTTACGGTTCAATAGGCACGGGTAATTACTCTCCATCTTCAGCCAGAACCCCAGTTTCCCATCAGCCACCCCCACCTCCTCCACCACAAGTCCAGCAGCCGGGAGGTGCAAACCTGGGGAGCAACTTGCCAAGCACTTTGTCCCCTCCGTATAATCTATATAGGCGGCACACCTCGGCAGATATCCGCTTACATGGTTGGCAACCGCAGCCACCCAACGCTGCCGTCAATTCGCCATACGCTTCTGGTTACAACTCCACGCAATGGCCCTCGTCACCGCGCCATCCACCTATCGGAGGTGGTGACCAGCAGCTCCGTGATGCATTGGAATCGTATCAATTACCCCGCGGTCCACGGCAAGCACAGTCAAGACACGGCTCTCCTCCACCGCCAAATGAAAATATGCCGTCGACATTAAATCCAGATGCTGGCTGGACACTACCGGGAGCTAGATACCCTTTCAAAGGCCTCGACACTGGACCACCTACTCGACGATCTAGTATGGCGTCCAATGTCCACTCGCTCCTCAATCCCGCGGAAACTGCGGAACGCAGTGAGGAGGATGAAGCAGATGACGTGCGTAAGCGAAAACGCATGCAGTGATGATCATACTCCCCCTGTCCGACGCAAACTCTTGTTGTGTCACGCGACTTCATTTATTCTGTTGTGTCTTTGCGTTTGGGTATGGCGTTCAGCGAGTCCCGCTCCGGACATGAGATCCATATTTTTCGATTCCCACATCCTCATCACGGCGTCTGGATATGTCTACCCATATTCCATTTCCTATTTTTCTTATCCATTCCTTAATTCTTATCGAAAAAAAGCTGCTTGCATAAAGACATGTACATGCATTGGGTGGTGACGACTTTCGGTATTGCTGCTCATTGATAGGGAGTAATTACGTGTTTGAGTGTCGATGGATTGGCTCTCAATCCACTTTGTATGTTGGCAGCCGGATGGTCAGGTTTGGGTTGTGCTGTGCTAGCCTCGCATGAGGGTTAGTTCGGATACAATGTGAACTTCGGTTACTTGTGATTACCTGGTGTTCTTACATACCGACGTTTACAAGCACTGCATATACGAGCAATCCCCTGACTACCCCGTTGTACAATACATGCAGTGGTCGCCGATGTCGCACATGTGGAAGGTTGACCCTGACGCGCATATGATGTCGATGCTGATCAGCTGGACGGATCGAGTGAGGTTCGGATCACGGATTCCAGTTCGCAGAAAGATGACTACTAAATGTGGGGTGCCACATAGACCATTAGTGAGTAGAGAGAGAGACGAAGAACCGATAAGTTTTGATCCTTTGCATTCAGTAGGAAAGAGTATACTACAACAGCAGTATAAAACCCAAGACTCCATCCCATCCATCAGGACAGAAAGATAGCGACCGTAGCCAACCAGCCATCCAAACAACCCCCCCGAAAACACCAAACACCGCCCTCCATCCCATATATACAATCCTCTTTCTTTCAACCCCAACCCCCCTTACCAACTTTCCTCTTCAACCCTAAACCCTATACCCAAGCCACCCAATAGTATTCGAATAAACACTCAAATTATCCCTCCAACCCGCCTTATCCACCCCATCCACCGTAATCATCCACTCACTGCCCACCTCACTCAGCGCAAAAGCCTGCACACTGCTATCCCCCTCAATACTAAAAATCCTATTCTGGCATATCCGCGCCCCACCACTCGCATCCGCGCTCGAACAACTAGTGCTGTAATTGCGGAAGAAGGAATACAAACCCCCACCGTAGACAAGCACGTTCTTTGAGTTCAGCACGCGCAGGCCGTAGGCGGAGGCGCCGGATGGGTATACGGGGTCGGAGTAGGCAGAGGAGGTGCCGTAGGGTTGGTTGGAGGCGTCGGGCGTGGGCATGTAGTATGGTGTTTCTGTTTGGATGAAGCCGGCGAAAATATTAGACGCGCCGTTGAATTGGTACTGGTAGTTTGCGTGGTGTTCGACGCCGTTGGCCCAGAGCCACACGTTTGAGGCTTCGACGTGCAGGCCGCGGCCCGTCAGGATGGTGATTTGCGTGCTGCGCGCATCGTCCATGTCGTGGTCGGCCGTCCAGAACCAGTTGTTCTCGAAGTATGCGCCGTTGGCGCCCTTGGTTACGTGTACGTTTGTGTGGGCGGCCATGCATTCGGGTTTTACGCTGCCGACGGTGGACGGGCACTGCGCGACTTGCAGGTTTGTGCCTTTGGCGCCGCCGATGCGCGTGTGCACGTCCCAGAGGCCGGAGCCGCGGGAGGTGTTGAGGTTGTATTGGATTACGATGGCGCCGGGGGTGGCGCCTTGGGTTTGCACGATCATGTCGGACCATTCGATGCGGCCGCTTTCGCCGGGCTTGCCGATTTGCATGATGGGGATGGGGGAGTCTTTGTTGGAGAAGACGGAGCCGGAGCCCATGATTGAGGGGAAGGTCTCGCCGACCATGCGGGAGCCGGGGGGGACGTAGATTGTGTTGGTTACTCTGTAGACGCCGTGTTCGAAGAAGAGGACCTTTTGGACAATGATTAGCCTCGGATTATGAGATTGTGTGAGATTGAAAGGGGACGGACCTTGTTAGAGGAAACAGCCCTGTTGATGGCATTCTGAACAGCCTGGGTATCGTCGGTACGACCATCACCTGTGGCTCCACTGCCGCGAGCACTGATAAAGTCGCCAGAGTTGAGGTTCTCGTACTGCGGCTTTGACTTGGCGTAGTACTTGTTGCCATCCAAAAGGCCTCCAGGGCGAGCAACAGGGGTGAAGGTTCCCTGAAACTTCTCCGGACCGTTGGCATTAGGTGCGTACTTATTACCCTGACCCCAAGCCTGGATAGTGAAGGTACCGCCCTGGAGGACGGTAGCTCCGTTTCCCACGACGGCGTTGGGCACGTTGTTAAGCTTGATGTTCTCCAGCATGAGCTGTCCGGCACCAGTAGGAACGCTGTTACGGGTCCATGCCATATCGACAAACTTCTGGCAGTTGGTGATCTCAGAGTCGATGATAACAACAGAGCCAACCTCAAGCTTATTAGCCGAGCCACCGTTGCTCATAGAAAAAGCAGTGCCGCAGTCACTAATAGTAAGACCAGCGTACAACCAGCCCCAATCCCAAATCTGCGAGATACCAGTAATGGCCTTGGAGATCTTGACGTTGCGCATGGTGAACTGCTGGTTTCCAATGTTCATGCCGTACAAGCCACCCTCGATGTCGAGGTCAGCCATGTGGCCACCAGATCCGTTCTCGACGAAGATACCGGCGTGGACTGAGTTCGATGCCTGTGTCATGCGGATCTTGACATTCTGGATGGTCGTGGCTTGTGAAGCGGGCCAGTGGATACCCTGGAAGCCGCTGGTTGGTGCAACAGCTGTGCCGTCGATGATCAGGTTGCGGATCTGCCTCAGGAAGATGTTGGTTGATGTCCAGCCGGGTGCACCGTTGTTCTGGTAAGGACTGGCATCGATGAGAGCAATAGCCTGGAGAGTTGGAGCAGCCTTCAAAACAGGAAGACCTCGGGGGTTGCCGATGAGCTGAGTCATGTAATAGAAGATGATGGGCTTGCCAATGAGGTAAGTTCCAGAAGGAATGTAGACAACGGCCGGGGAATCAGTGGCCGAGTCGCACACGCCGGGACCGCAACGGTTGCCGTCGGCAATGGCACGGTTGATTGCATCGGAATCGTCGGTGACACCGTCGCCTATGGGAGTGTTAGATTTGTACTGAAACACAAAAAGCAAAGTAGCTTACCCTTTGCTCCGTACTCCTTGACGTTGCGGAACACCTTGTAAGCACCGTTGGCGTTGAAGGCAGCTCTTCCGTTGCCGGAGAGGTCGTTCAGCCAGTAGCCATCCGTGATAGCAGCAACTCCCTGGATGCTGCTGATGTTCGAGGTAGGCTCGGTATCATTCACTACGATCTGTCTAGGGAAGCGTGCTGTGGTGTATCAGTAACGAAACTATTCAGGCAAAAGGTCATTGCTTACCGATAGCAGCACCCTGAATGCCGACTGCACTGAGGCAGGTGAGCAAGAAGGACAAATGCATAGTCGTGAGTATATGCCAATAGATAATGGTATGTTCAGTGAGAACACAAAGAGGAGGAGTACAAAGGAGTGTAGACTGTAGTAGCGAGAAGAAGTCTCAGAAAGGGAGACCATGATGCCTATTTAATCTCCCCGTTTGTTCACAGCTACACGTCGTGGTAGTGCGTGATAGGAGAAAGATCCATACACCCACGCGATCATTTGGAGATCTGCCCCCCATGAAGCCTGCCGACTGGCTAGCTAGCGACATCCGGTGATGAGATACTCACCGTCTACCACTTAGGAGGTCATAAGGCCTTGTCGAAGACTAACTCACTAGGCGGCTGCCCCCGTTGCCGTTTGAAGGGTTACATAGCTTACTTAGGTCCCGGCTTCGAGATGTCTTAGCTTGAGTAACATAGTCTGGGGAAAGGGAGGGTGTAGGTACGCGCCCTTCCTTTTCAAGCCACATCTCCGAAGGGTGTTTTGTGTTGTTTGGTAAGTAGAACAGCCTGTTCCATTCTCGTGAGCAGTGTGATATGCTTTACGTCCGCAAGTTGCAGTGGCTATCTGAACATGAATAGCTGCAGATGATGATGATAACCTAACATGCTGCCCAACACATGCTGTGGGTGAGCTACAAGCAGAAGTTGTGAGAAGACTCAGGGGATATGCAACTAACCTCGATGCAGCGTTGGTCACCGGGACGGCCCTACGCATATTATTTCCGTGAAGCGCTGTCCAGTGACTGTGCAAACACCGACCAAACCTTGGAAGCATGTGACGGACGCTAGTGCCAAGACCAGAGCGTTGAAGCCGGCAATTGGCTCCGCGGTCATGAATCTTAAGACCCCAGATTTGCGCCGTCAACAGTAGTTCGCCACGAAGCCTAAATGTGGGGTAGTCTTAGGTAGAAATGCCATGCGTCGCACTGCATGAGTCTGCCCTATGATCTTGCCCTGCAGCATAAGCCTCAAGCGCGCGTGCTCATGTGTTAGTCTCTTAGACGTCAGAGCACTCACTTCACACCCATAGTTGTGATGCGGTGAATGCAGAGAGTCTTGTGAGGCTTCCGCGAGACAAGCAACGTGAAGGCGAGTCCGACACCTTTCTTTTGACCTGCCTGATTGGAACAGACTTGTTTTGAAACGGCGCCAGTCAAAAATCGCAAATGACGACGGCGAAGTCAGGCGCGTGAACGTTGACCACGGAGTGTAGTGTCGTTTGCAGACTCGGGCATGCCTAGATCTGGGCATCTTGGAGCTGTTGCTGGTTAGAGGTCGGCCGAACGCCATGTTTGGAGACAATTTCCTAGGTGTATGCTTTGAGATTGCAACATCGCAAGCGCCTCGTCGAATACCCCAGATGCACAGGAGCCGGGCCTAGGCGACGGTCATGCACAGGGTAGATCATGTGGGTCAGGGTAGATAGATTAAAAGAATCTGGCTATGACCAGTCATGTGGCTAGACTCGACTTACACTTTCGGGCTATCTGCCACTAAGAGCAGGCGCCGACCCAGTAGCTTCGCACATGGCAAAATCTGAGCATCAAGTCGATGAAAAAGTAATAGAATGTGCAATACAGGAGGTCAAGCGAATGTACGCTTGTAACTTCGGTCAAAGTCGGACTGTCCATTCGTGGTGGAGCAGGTGAATAGCTCAAGCGATTCTTTACACGCCTGCCTAAGAGGGTATCTTGAACGAAACCTTGAAATTCGTAGGCTGGAATCGTAGTGTACCAGCATTCAGTATTGCAAAAGGGGTTGAGATGCGCGTTGAGGTGCGCGACATCTCGCCGTCTCTCAGACTTTGCTGAGGGTCGCGGCAGTTATGTTGCGCGATTCCATGCAACCAAACTCCCGACAAGCAGCGAATATGACAGATGGCCACGCGAGCGGTGCGACTTTGCAGATGAGATATTGTATTCATGTACAAGCGTAGTACGCGCTGTGGTGGCCCATGTACTGTCGAGTTTGGTATCCGAATGCCCAGACATTTCGACGGCTACCTCTACCATATTCCGTGGCACATAGTAGTACTGTGGGTCACTGCCTATTCCCGTGCAGAGCGCATGATCATCTAGAGGTATCATAGCTTGGTCGAAAGTCTGATGAACATGCCGTCGGCGATGGTGTATATCGTACCGTTGCCGTCTTCGAGAGTCGCGCGAGCGTATAGTTTGCGACCGCCGTCTTCTATTCGTTCGATCTTGGCTGTGCAGAGAAGCGTCAGCAGGGTTGGCGCCGGCTTCTTGTAGGTAGTGTTTAGATCTGTTTGTGCTCAGCTGGTGTTTCGGTGCTGATGCATGGTATGGACGAACAGGCAGTAACGTAGCTTGCGACAGGCGCGCGGCGACCGTCCTTACTTGCCCTTTGCGCCTTTTTCTCCATGACCTTCCCGATCAAGACGCCGGACATCTCGTCAAGCAACGTTGCCTGGAAGCCGCCGTGTGCGATCTGTGGGTAGCCTTGTAGCCCATCGCCTAGCTCCACAATCGTTTTGATCTCTTTGTATGCGATGTCGCCTGCTTCCTCGTTTTTCGGACGAAACGTAAGAAGCGTTGTTATTGTGCGATCAGTGCCAAGCGTCCCTGCGAAAAAGGAGTCTTCCCCTGATGGCTTTACTGACCGCGAGCTGGTCTCCATCGGCGTCCAGTTGGGGTCGTTGATCAAGGCAGCGGCCCAGGGAACAGACAACAAGTGGGAATATTTCGCGTCCATGATGGCGCATTGATAGTGTTTGCAGTGCGAATCGCGTGTGCTGCCTTCGCGTTCATTGAGAACATGACTGCGGAGCTCGCGAGACTCTGGGGTAGCAAAGATGCCGAGGTGTAACGGCAGGACGGGTTGTGGGGAGCTTGGAGCTCCACCGCTCTGTAAGCCATCAGCACACCTGGGCAACCTCATTCGTTCATGACCATAACAGTCGTCAACACTTCAGAAACTCAACTCCAAAGTCTGCAACCAATGAGTCCCAAATAGACTTCAAATTGAACGATAATTTGAAGGAATCCAAAACGCGCAAAAGCATCACGAAGATCTTCATGTGAAAACGCGCCTCACAATGCAAGACGTCATGCCCACGCGCTAGACACTCCATCAAGCATTCCCACCACCAAAGCACGCACTATCTCTCAATGATGTAGCTGCGTAGCTGCCGAGGTACAGGAGTAGGTCTAGATGTCATAACCAGCCCTTTTTCCCCAGATTCCATGCTCCGCGGTTACACACCATCCTGATTTCATACCATACATCATACATCCTGGACAACAAAAAACTACCCTGGTCAGCAACAATGGTCGACACATCCCACTCCTCCTCCGTCCGCGGCACCCTCTCGAACCCAAAGACAAAAGAAGCCATGAACTCCGATAAACCCACTCCCCGTCTAGGCGACCACGTTAGTCTGAAACCTGAAAACGACGATAGCAAGACTTTCCCTTCAAACGACGCTCCCTCCTCTTCTCCCTCCTCTTCTTCCACCTCCACCTCCTCATCCCCGCCATCCTCAGAAACCTCCTCCATCGGCGCACCCACGCCCTCAGCCCCCTACGTCAAATCCGGTACATCAGCCGGCGGCGCCGACAAGAAGGCCATTGGCAACGGCGGGAGTGCAGGTAGCAAGAAAGAGGAAGGAAAGGAGGATCTGCCGCACAGCAAGAAAGTACGAGGGACGCTTGCGAACGACGATGGAAACAAGGTGAACAAGACGCAACTTGGTGATCCGGCGAGTTTGAAGGCGGAGACGAGTGATACGAAGGATATGGGGAGGCAGACGGAGAGGGAGGGAGGGGATAAGGGGGGGAAGAGTAAATTGTAGGGTTTGGCTTTTAGAGACGGGAGATGAGATGGGGGCATAGCATGGTTGTATATGCCTAGAGCACGGCAAGGCGGATGCGTACATTGCATACGACACTGCCTAGTATCGGATGCAGTGTACGCATCCGCCTTGCCGTGCTCTAGGCCTATGCAATTTCGTTGATATTGTTACTGGGTATCTCTCTAATCTAGTCTATACACTCCAACCACCATCCATCATACTTCTATACACCTACCCATCTACAAACACCTTATCAAAACACTCCAAACCCTCCCATCTCACCCCCCAGCCTCCGTCCTCTGCGGCGCCCACCCCTTAAGCCAACTCCTCGCCCTATCCAAATCCCCACCTTCAGCCTCCATAGCAGCAACACACCACTCCAACCCATACCCCCCCTTCCCCTCAATCCCCTTCTCAGCAGCCACCATCTCAGCCAACGTCCTGCACTTCTGCGTCCTCTCGTCCACGCAAAAGTGCAACGGGGTCTCATACCCCCTCCCATCCATACCCTGCAGGAAAGGCTTAACAAGTGGAATAGCATCTTTAGTCGGAACGGATCTATCTTCCTGGCCTAGGTTCTTCCGACCGGTACGGCAGTACTCGTTCTTACACCACGCTTTCCCGCAGCCGGTCAGGAGCTGGGAGAGGTACCGACGCTCAATACGGCGACGCAGTGCTTTACCTTCTGGGTCGTGGAGCGAGACGTATAGAGGCCCGAAACAGACGCTGCAGAGGCCGATTTCATTGCCGGGGCCCTGACCTTTGCGCGTCCCAGCTCGGGTGTCGCCGGCTTTGTTTGCGCCGTCTTGGGTGCGGCCGCAGTTTACGTTGCGGCATAGGCGTGGTGGGGGGCGGGATAGGCGCTCGAGATCGTGGTGCCGGAGATGTGTGTCCATATCGCGGAAGCGGACGATTTTGTTGCAGAGGTGGCATTCGGTTGTTCGGCCGCCGTCTGCTAGCTCGTGGGGTGTGAGGCCTGAGAGGAGGAGTTCGGGGGATTGGTCGTTGGGGTCGCCTTCTTGCGGGACTTGGAGGTGGCAGAAGCGGCAGAGGATTAGTTTGCCGGGACATACGGTCGTTTTGTGATGGGAGAGCATGGGCATTGATGGGAATTCCATGTCGCATATTGAGCACATCTGTGGTGTGTGGTAGAGAGCGTCGTGCTTCTGGTGGCTCAATGTGGTGTTTCCGTTGAAAGTATCGTGTGGACAATGCCAATGGTTCTGGAAAGCCGGCGAGCGCTTCTGGAAGACTTGACCACAGCCTTGGGGGCAAAGGATGTTGTTTCTTAGACAGAAGTTCTCGTGCAAGAACAGTGAGCCTTTAGGAACTACTTGTTGGCAGTTTTTGCAGATCACTTCGTCCGGTCCCACCGCTTTGGCATTCTCAAGGGCCTCGTCCAGCCCATCCATCCCTTCTGTCTTGGGGTCGAAAATCGACACCTTCAGACGGAAGGGTTTGGGCGTGCTTGAGGGTGACTCAGATGGGTATGCATGAACTGAGATCCATACAGCTTCCGCATCGTCAAGCTCGACGTTTGTAGGCTGTAATCGTATGCGTTTCGGATATTGACTTCTTATATTTGCGAAAACATGCTCGTCCTCTCGTGGGCGAACTCTCTGTCGTGACGAGTATGGACTGACATATAGATCAATCTCATCTCCATCTTCTACTTCGTCTAGGAGGATTTCCAGCCCCTGAGATCTGTCCCAGGATGTCAGTTCGTAGTCGACGTACTCGCCGTCAAGCACTTGTCCAGGTTGCGCGTTGAATATGTCGACCGCACCGCCGGTGGAACTGCCTTGTGATGTTCCGGGAGCGCGATGCATCTTGGCAGCTATCCTCTTCATAGTCTCGCGTGCTTGTTCTTCGTTCAATGCTTCGATATCCACCTCCAGATCCGTGTCTACTACGCAAATGCCATCTCCTTCGGGCTTGAAGCCGTCTACAAGGAAGCGAAACTCCTCGCGCTTGCCATCAACTCCTCGACCACCATTTATAGCCAGGACCTCTCCGTTCGTCAAGGTTGTAAAGTTGGACCGTAGATGTTCCTCCAGTAGCGACTTCCAATCCTCCGGGTCATAGCCAGCTTCGAGAGGCCGTAGCTTTACGAAGGTGCCCTTTGGTAATTGCTTGGCATGTACTGTGATCTTTGTAGATGCAGCACCTTCTGTCCCCAGAGGAATTGCTCCATTCGACATAGCCACGTCATCTTCATCCTGACCATTCGGGCTGGCATTCCTAGAAGGCTCCGCAGATTGTTCCTTGATTCCCAATGCCTCTTTCAGAAAACTGCTCAGTACAACCTCGCCCTCCTCTGCGGAGAACTCGCGTATGCCTGCATGTACAACTCTGCCATTATCCGGGTTGACCAAGCGGAACGTAAGCGGGTGGGGCAGCTGCTGGAAGCGGTCCTGCGTTTGTGCTCGTGCGTGGCGCTCGGCGTTGAAGGTGTATGGGTTAAAAGGATCGAAAGCGGTGATGTGCGGTCGATTCGCGTCGACGTGAACGACAGGTGCTGCGGCAAGGAGCTGCTCTAACGCTGATGGGGGAAGGAGTAGTTTGTCGCCGGGTAGCGTGCTTCGCGTCGCATGTGCGAGTTCGTATTGCGCGGACCACTTCAGCTCTGCTGGTTCTGCTTCCGGGTCCATGGTTGTATCGTGTCGGGTCTAGAGAGGTGAAGGTAAAGACTGTGGGAACACATGAATGATGGTACGCTGTAGTTCAGAGGCGTGAGATGGCTGACATATGCGCCTCGCGACTCGAAGCTTCGGTGAATGACTGGCGTCATTGCGCTGCCTCGCCTCGGCCCGCTTGGCTTATCGATAAGCCTCGCGTGGTAACGCGTGAAGATACCGCCACCGTTGAAAGCATACAGCAGAAGTCTAGTTTCACCACTCGCAGTCGTCATGTATATTCTATATTTGGTCTACCATCTTTCACAGTGCAAGCGATGGTTTCCCGATACAACTGCGAGACGGTGACTAAGCTTCTTAGACACACCGATAGAGCCACGAGCATACCTGAGTATCTCGCAACATACAGCCCATATATGTGTAGACGTGTTTGGATAATTCATCATAATTGATCAACAGAAGTGCGCGTCTCAACAAAGATGCGAGAATCTCCCCGGGCACCTAAACCATATCTGTGTCGTCCATGCCAATGCTCCGGTGAGTTTCGATATGTCGATTCATGTTCTAAGCGGCCAACGTGGGGCGAACATCCCCCGGCGGCTTTGCGCGTCGCGTCGCCTACCTGACATCTCGCAGCGACTGTTTTAGCCTGTTTCCACTCGACCACCAAGACTTGCAGCGCGGGCTTGGCTGCAAGACGTGTTCCAATCTATGCTTCATCGCGGCCTGATCGTGCAGGTCCTATGCAGGAAGCTTTGCTGTCCTGCTAATACGCCTCTTGGCAGGGTCTTGCGCTTGCGATCGCCGCAGGGAACGAAGCATCGGCGGTATCCCACGCACCCACAACCCCATCTCCTGCAGCGTCTCAACCTCGATTAGTCTTTCCTTTTGCTCATCCAACACACACCTGCAGTGTCAGATCAGTGGCACGTGCTACTCCGCCCTGCCCTCGCGCTGTGTAATAAAGATTCGGTGAGTACCCATCTAACCTCTGGCCAAACTTCTCTGGTTGCATTCCCCGAGCCCTCACCATGGGCCCTTCTACCTTCAGTGACGACCTTCCTACATCCCTGGCGGACCTGCTTTCCAACACCTTGATCCTGCGCCAAACTGCCCCGTACCTGCCAATATCTGCTCTCCGTAACCTGTCGCGAACTTGCAAATCCCTACACCATGTTGTCTTCCAGTCGCCAGAGGCCTTTCGCTACTTGGATCTCTCTCCGGTGAAGTCTGCTATTGTGCCCTTCGATGGACCTCTTGATATCGGCGGTACCAGTTTCCGTGCTGAGCGCATGGACGAAGCCCTCACCGAAGACGACTTCTACAGCGGCCCTCTACGTCATATCTTCAACAGACTTGAGAAGCTGCACGTCTTGCGCAATGTCCACACACTCGTACTAGACGGGCTCAGCGTAACAGCCGAGCTGGTCAAGGAACTGCTTACTGAGGAACGCTTCAACGTCCGCATACTCTCGATCCGCGAAGCCAAACACTTGAACGAGAGGAAGCTTCAGCAATACCTGCGATACGCGGTCCGACCGTCCAGGCCTGCGGGCACCCCTCGAGTCAAAGGCATCTACATCTTTGGCACCCGCGATCGAACACCGCGCCCTGCGTCGCCCGTCACGAAGAAGCCTTCCCCACATATTCCCAAGGGCGTGACGACTTCACAAGGGGCGCAGATAGGGGCGCAATGGAACGAGAAGTCGCAGCAGGCCTTGGAAGCTGTACTGGCGCGGACCGAGGACAAGTGGTACCAGTCTTCTGGCAAGATCATACCTAAGCGGCCGTCGCCGGAATGGGCAGAGATTCTCCAGGCGTGCGAAGGCATCATCGCTTTCGACGCCGTTCTGTGCAGAGGACCACGCCATGACCCAAGCAAGGCGTACGTCAGAGACGCGACTGCAGATGGCGCACCCCATCCATCCTCGTTCCTGCGGCCTACAGTAGCCACTGTAGCGCTAGGTCCGTCTGGCTGCGAGACATGCCACTCCTCTCCAGAAGGCCCGGCAGTGTTTGGCGACTCCAGTCCGTCGCATCATCCGCTACTCAGTCCGGTACCACTTCATGGGTCCTCCGTACGCGCCGCGCAAATACCACACACTCTCGACGGATCCGCCCCTCCACCTCTCATAGTGCGATGCGAGGACTGCCTGAAAGGACGCTGGTGCGAGAGATGTCACAAGTGGTGGGACGAGAACTGCTACACTGGATCGGTCACCGCCCAACGTACGGAACTACAGCAGACGGAGCTCACCGAGAGCTTCAAACCCGACGGGACCAGCCAACTGCTCCCCAAGCAAACCATCAAGGTACATATGGGCCTCTGCGTGGAACACTGTCTCCGTGAGGAAATGATGGCCGGAGCCGGTAGCGACGGGATGTGGGGATGAAGGACCTACCTTGGCGCGCGAGCAGCGATGCTACCTTGAGGCCGTTACGATGTAGTTGGATTCCGGAACCCGGAGCCTGGCTATATTGGATAATTGCACCTGGAGACTGGCACTTGCGCGCCAAGGTATGTGCTCACTCTTTGGTCAAGAAATAGGCTGACGTGAAAAAAACACAGGTTATCGGCGTGAGACGTGACTGTTTTGGCTGTGGCCATACGTGCATAAGCTGTAAGGAGCTTTTCATCCGCACCTGCAGGAAATGCAACAACGAGTATTGCCGTGAGGATAACGACGCGTCTTCTGACACTCTGGTTAGTATGGTGCGATGAGGCGTGTAAACATCAACTAACTCGTCTACAGTGCGACTGGTGCAACTATACTTCACGAAGGACCAGGGAAATGTATTGAACTTGGCTTTCGTCGCTTGAGTAGAGCTTGGATACCTCCTCGGCCAACAGCAAACGTATCGCTTGCGACCACAGCTATGGCTGGATTTATGATTGATGATTGATGACTTCCCTCTCCTCTTCGTATTAGGACTAGATACCCCCCTCAAATCTATGGACACGGTTCCCGAACCTACTTCTCCGAAATATGCAAATGACATTTCGCATGCTTGGCTGTCTAGCATCGAATCTGCGGTGCGGCTTTGCTGTGTGATCATTCGCTCCTTCTTTCACCTATCATGCAGGATATGGGCGTGGTCGATCTAGCCCGTTTCGGCAGACACGCTCCTGCCTGTTTGTGTTGTCGCCTATCCGCGGCACGTCAACATGTCCGCAGTTGACGTCCTCGACTTCCTCACCTTTACCTGCGTTTATTGTTTGGTCGATATTTATCCACGGTTTCGCAAAACGGGAGTCGCTTTATCACCATCACTATCGATCCAAGAATAAGCCATGGATCCTACTGCAGCAAAGAAGAGGTATGGTTACTCTAACAATACCGATAATATGACAGGACTTGTACTGATGCTGCAATAGAGTACGGGCTTGTCTACCCCAAGTCCGGAAGTTGATGGGAATCACCGGATGTCCTTCTGTCTCCATCGGCATCCTCCACGAAGGCGAGGTCATCCTTCAGCACAGCCAAGGATTCGCAGACGGGAACGAAAATTATATCCCGGTCAACAATTCAACTCTCTACATGATCGGATCACTCACCAAGGCCTTCATCGCCGCGTCCTGTGGTATACTCGTCGACGAGGGCAAACTGAGCTGGACCGAACCACTATCCACATACATACCCTTTACCCAGAACAAAGATCCTGCCATAGGCAAACACATGAGTCTATCAGAAGCCCTCTCTCATTCCAGCGGATTTCCACAGCTCGACATCGCGTGGTATGGCGCAGCAGGCGCAGAACTGCTTCTTCCAGAAGATTTATTACATATCACTGCCAACATGCCAGTTCACGACACATTTCGCACCGGATTCCATTACTCCAACTGGCCTTACGCTCTGGTGGGTAAGGTGATTAAAGCGGTAGGCGGCGAGGATGCCGTGGATGGCTGGGGAGGGTTCGTCAAGAAGAGAATCTTTGAGCCTCTCGGAATGAGTAGATCGACGTGTTCTCGATGGAAAGTCGAGGGTGGAAATCTGGCTGAGGGGCATACGGTCTTGCACGACAGGCGACCAGTACGTTTACGAATGCCTCAAGTTTCAGACAAGACTATTTGTGGAGCCGCAATGGCGATTTGGTCGAACGTTCCGGAAATGCTCATCTGGTCGCAAGCAGTAATGGAACGGTTGGAAGAAGAGGGGACGGAGAAGGACACCATTGAGGCCATGCAAGGATTGAGTCTCAACACGGAACAATACGAAGCAGTACACCACGACGACCATACGGACGCGCAAAGCACATCGACAAACCCGCTCAGGCGAATCAGCCAAATCACGTCTCGCAAGATACCCGTTACGGACGATACCACCAACGAGAACTCGTACGCGTTTGGATGGGCAAGACACATGATTCCCTCGACACAACTTGGGTGGTTGTCTACCAACGGCCCACAGAGAGACGACATCATCGGACGAGAATCGCACCCGCGGCTAACACTATACCACGGAGGCCAGGTGACCGGATATCTCAACTCCATCTATCTCTTTCCGGAGACTAAATCAGCTGTGGTCGTCCTGACCAACGCGCAGAGTGCTGGAGACTGCTCTGATCTCGTTGCTCAGATGTTCGTCCAATCGCTCTTCGATATGACCCCGAAAGTGGATTTCGGTATGAGGGCGGAGAAGCTATCTACCCGTAGTCTGAACCGATATACCGAGATGAAAAACGATCTGCAGAAGGACCGCATGTTAAATACGCCGTGTCCCCGTCTCGAAAGCCTTGAGGGGACGTACCGGAACGAAGACATACAGGGGATTATTCATGTGTACAAGGTAAGTGAAGATCAATTGGAGATGAAACGGAATCGCATGGATTCGCAGTGCCATCTTCTGGAACACTACCAGTCCCACACGTTTAGCTTTTTGCCTGGATCGAGGGACGAGATGGAGACAAGATGTCTGGTTGATTACTCGAGCTACGAGCAATTTCTCTTGGTATTCATACGCAATAAAGAGGGTACGGTTATTGGTTTGGACTGGGTGATGCAGGAGGGATTCAAGCCGTTGCGTTATATTCGCCAGAATATCGGCCCAGTCAGCGGACCCCCGTCTATTATGTTAATCCCGTGTTGAGGATGAGAAACGTAACGAGTAAACATTCATAAGCTTCGTAGAACTATAGCTTAGACATGGTCGTTAAATATTCACGGCGTTAACTTTGCTTTGGATCCTCGTGTCGCTGCCAAGCCCTCATCGGCCTGTGGACGGCTGGCCAGGGCCGATGCACACGATGACATGTGGCTGCCACATTGAGCCTCAACACTGCAAACAAACCATTGTCTTCTTCCCACTTCAGCGCGCGAGTCCTCACTTTCCAAACCCAACACCCCCGTTTCACGCAATCTGTCCTTTCCGCGCAAAAATCCTCGGTGACGTCGTCTCTCGCTCCACGTACCACATCTCCCCAGGACACGTTCGCTCCACCTCCGCCAGGCACCAGCTGCACGACCTACCCAACGCCAGATCGCTACATTCCGACACTTCCTCTTCGTCGCTATACCTCACACACTCGCATATCAGACAATGGCGCAATACGGCTACGGACAAAACCCGCAATACGGCGCAGGAAATGCGCAAAACCTCCAATTCTACCCATCGTCATTTTCGAACCAGCCGGTATCTGGCCATTCCACACCGTTCCAGGCAAATTACGGCGCACCAGCAAGTCAAGCGTATCCCGCACAGTATGGCGCGGGGTTCGCTGCACCGGGTGTGAGCGGGCAGATGGGTATGGGTGTGTCGGGGCTGCGGACGGGGTGGCTGGCAGCCTTTGGGACGGAAGGATACGATGGAGAGCCGCCGCTACTGGAAGAGTTGGGAGTGAACTTCAGGCATATACAGATGAAGACGTTGGCTGTGCTGAATCCGTTCGGTCGGATCGATCAACATATCATGGACGACAGCGATGTGGCAGGGCCGATACTGTTCTTCTTGATCTTTGGGACGTCGTTACTGGTATGAGACACGATATCAAGAAAGAAATGAGAGCTAACGTGGAGTAGTTGTCTGGAAAGCTTCATTTCGGTTACATCTACGGTAAGTCAAACAGCTGCTTGGAGAAAGATAGTAGCTAACAGAGACAGGTCTGGCGTTCGTTGGCACGATCCTCCTCCACCAGATCCTCTCGCTCATGTCCCCGCCTGTCGTCGAAGCGACACCTGGAGACCACGGTCACCCGCATGGCTCACATCTCGGCTCCTCGTTAACGTTCCCACGATCGGCATCGGTGCTCGGATACTGTCTGCTCCCTCTCGTTCTGGTATCGATGTTTGGAATCATTGTGCCGCTTGACGGGCTATTTGGATACCTTCTGACCAGCCTGGCCATCACATGGTGTTCCTACAGCTCCAGTTCCATGTTCACCGTTGTTGGTAAGTCGAGCCTTCCGATGGGGTTTTTGATGGGAACTAACACATCTCGTAGGGCGCATGACTTCCATGCGGGGACTGGTAGCGTACCCCATGGTTCTGTTCTATGGCAGTTTTGGTATCATGGCTATCTTCAGCTCGCGGGGCACTGGTCAGTTGGCGAAGGCGGCAGGATCATAAGAATATGGTTGAGCACATTTCAAGGCGTCTTGACCAAGATATGTAGAACATTTGCGCATATGCGTACGATATCAAGAGCATAACCAAAACAAAATCCAAATATAGCTTCCAAATCGACCTTCACTACATTGAGGTGTCGAGCCAATCGGAGTACGCCTAACGTGCTTAGAGCGATGACGACGAGGACCCTGCACGAAATTGTTCTTCCCGATAATCTCCGCCACCCGTCACATCTTCTTCAGCCCTATATACCCTTGCTTGCCTCTTCTTTTCGCCGTACTACTCTTTGCATACGAATACTCACCATGGGTTGGTTTTGGGCAGACACCGCACCCGCCGCACCTGCTGCACGTGTTGCGCCGCACGCCATGCCTCGAGGCAGCATGAGCAGCATGGAACCACCAGTACGCACTCCCACTCCCCATATACACACTTCCCACTAACAACCCCCCAGCCAGAATGCCCGATGCACAAGAAACCCGTCCCGCCCGTCGTCGCCGAAAACAAGACACCCGCCGGCGCCTGCCCCTACGTCCCACCTGAGAGTGCCTCCACCAGCGCCTCCGAGCCACCCCCAAAGCAAGGCCTCCTTTCGCGCCTCAACCCCCTCAACAACATGTTCTCTGAACTCTCCAACGAGCGCGCCTCCACCCAATCCGTCACCCTCCCCCTCGACCGCGAGACCTCCACGATCCCCAAAGGCGACGGCTCGCTCTGGGAGTACCCCTCCCCCCAGCAAATGTACAACGCCATGCTGCGCAAAGGCTACACAGACACCGACATCACAGCCGTAGAAAGCATGGTCGGCGTGCACAATTTCCTCAACGAGGGCGCGTGGGCGGAGATCATGGGCTGGGAACGGCGCTTCAGTCGTGGTTTGAAAGAAGGATACGAGATATGCAAGCAAGGCGAGGAAGTCGCGAATTTCAAACTCGGCACGCATGAGGATCCGTTTGATACGACGACGTGGGATCATAGGGATGTTCAGCCGCCTAAGTTACTTAGGTTTACGGGGCGTCCTACGGAACCGACGCCCAAAGCAACGATTATGCAGTGGCTGGGCTACGTGATGCCGGAGAAATTCGGTACGGCGCCGCCGTTTGATCGCCATGATTGGTTTGTGGAAAGATGTAATGAGAAGGGGTGTAAAGAGATTCGTTATGTTATTGATTACTATGAGGGTGCGCCGGAGGCATCTGAAGCGGAGGGCGAGGGCGAGGCAGACGAACAACCCGTGTTTTATCTTGATGTTAGGCCCGCGGTTGATGGGCCGGTTAGTGCGGCTGAGAGGTTGATAAGGACGGGTACGGATGTTTGGTGGAGGGCTAGTGGGGGTGTGGCGAGGGAGTTGAAGAAGTTGGAAGAGGAGAAGAAGAGGAGGGAGGAGGAGTGGGCTAGTAAGAGTAGGAGGTATAATTAGGATGGGTGTGTGTTGCATTGCGCGGCGTTTATGGCTTGGGAGGTTTTCCTTCTGTATCATTTGGTTGTATGAGATATGGCTTGGGAACCTTTTTCTTGAGACTCGGTCTGTTACGCTGCTATGTTTCTCTACTCTAGCTTTTCTTTCTTGTTTTAGTATTCTCCATGGCTCTTCTCGAATACGAATGACGCTCAACTTGAATTCAAAACTTCTTCCTCTACCTATCTATCCCCTCCGCCACAACTTGTTCTCGTAGTACGGTATATTGTTCGATCCAGCCTGCGTATCGTGTATCTTATTGTTGTTAGTTGGGACAGGGTCGTCTGGAGGCACTTGTCGTATGGTTGCTCGAGGCAGCTGTGACTCTGGGTGTGGGATGTCGGAGATGGCACTAGGACCTTCGGCGGTAGGTGTAGTGACGTGAGTAGTGGTGTTTGTTTCGAGAGGTCGAGGGACAGGGAGCGGGTCTGTGGATTTGGAAGATGTGCAGCCCATGGTTGGTTTAGGAGGTTGGGAGTCGATGGCTGGTGATGATGGTGGTTGGTAGTAGGCACTTCGATGGTGTGTGCGAAGTAGGCTTCCGCGAACTATAGGAGAGGGGATAAGGTGTGGATTCACTGTGGTTAGTGAAGAGATTCGATTTATGACTTCGCATCTCCAATGAGCGAAACGATGCTTTGAGAAACTGGTGTGGGAATGAGTGATTCACGTTCTAGGGCTCATCACATCACAAAAGACATTCAACTCATCGTCTAGTTCATATAGCACTCATTGTATTCAGTTTCACATATCAGTATCCTTTACTCCAGCACACCCATCACTCCATCATCTTATCCCGCGTGCTGATCCACGTGAATCCCGTGTCGTAATACCCATATTTGCTTCCCAAAGGTCCTTTCATAGGAACAGGGGTCGAGGGCGCTGTGATGAATGGAGGAGTAGGAGTATTGCGCAGTGCTGATTGTTCAGGCTGAGTCTTTGCTTCTGGCTTGGTGGGTGTGGGGGAAGGGGCCGGTGGGTTTGCGGTAGGAGGGTTGGAGACTGCCGGTGGTTTGGGGATTGGTTTCGAGGATGAACAGCCCATGGTGAGAGTTTGGGAGAAAGATGTAGGGTTTGGGTTGGTAGAGAAAGGATGGACTGTTCTTCTTGGAGGTACGTTTTGACTTTGACGGTCAGGAAAGCTTATGGGTATGTAGAATGAGCGGAGCTTTAGAGTAAGAGAGATACAAGTAGCTTTTTGTAAATCTTATACGTGAACAATGGAAGCGAGCGCAGTGAAGCACACAATGTGAGCATGTTCCCCGGTGACCTTGAGCTTTTGGATAACGGCACAAAAGATAGCTGTTCCAGTACCCAGAGCCCTGACTGCGCACATTCCACGTCCTGTGTTTTTAGGATCTCTAGCTCGTTCGCAGCCAACCATTTTTAGTCACTTCCTCCACTTCCACCTCCTCCACCAGACGCTCTGCCCTCACTAGACGTCCCTACAACACCACCGTCACCGTTACTAAACCCGCTGTCTGCTCTATCCAATTCACTGTATTGCCTGCCGTGCATATCACCCCCGTCATAAAACGGGGTGGTCCTATCATGTCTTCCGTTGTAGCGTCCATACGATCTGTTTTGGCCTGGGTATGCAGCAGTACCCTCGAAATATCCGCGGGCTCTTTCACCGTTTCTCCGGGCAGCATATACTGCCGATATGTGATTTACTTCATCTTTCACGCGTTCGACTTCGCGGTTTAGCTTTGATAGAAAAGAGCCCATGGCTTGGTAGTCTTTAGCTTGAATGAACAGTGCGAATATGCGTGCACTATCTCGAGTGCTTGCGGTGAAGTGAAGACGACCGAATGGAGGCGCTGACGATGTCAGTAGTAGTTAGAGGAACAGTCGATGAATGAAACTGCGGAGGTTCGTGGATGTTGAGAAGGTTAAGGACAAGCTCGAAAGCCAGTTCTGAGGGATATTCATACTTCTTGGCTGTGCCATAGCGGATATGAGGCACGGTTGACAAGGCGGCTATGCTAGGCGGAAGTCATTGTTGTAGTTGGTCCCCACCCTCTCTCCCCCATGGTACCGCGATGACCCATTAACGACGAGCCACTCACGACTCCCGCAACACGCACGAGATACACGATAACTAAATCCGCCCATTAAATAATGGAAGGGATGAGAAAGATGTCATTGTTGTAGTTGCGGCTGATACATTGAAAGCACATACAGATTGCTACCTATGAAAGGTAAAAGAATAATCACAAGACAGCAAGTAGGTCAAGAGAACATGGAAGCATCTTGTCTTTCGTTGTCGTTATCAACCACCACCTCCACCTCCACCATCTCCTCCTCCGCCATACCCTCCGCCATCGCCGCCATAGCCACCACCGTAGTACATTCTACCAGATGTATTTCTGGCGTTTGTCCCGTCGGAAAGTATGTAGGGAGGGCCAGGCGGCTTCCCTGGGTTGGGTCCATATCCGTCTTGGTCGTGCTTTGCTCCAGCGAGTTTGCTTGACATGCAGCCCATGACTGGCGTTTCGAGTCGTTTTTCCTGTATGATGACAACTTAGGAGGATGGATGTGCAGTGTAGAGGGACGATATGGCTATACACAGTAATAGTGAGCAGTGGTCCGCAGACTTGAGCAGTGAGCTTACTATTGACGAGGTGATCTCTGACTGAAAAGTCGCTACATAATCATCAAGTCATAGTCGCTGAGAGCATCTCATCATATATCTTCTCAAACTTCACTATTCAGCTGAAAGTTGTGTGGTTGCGACAAGTACGAGAGAGGTCGTGTGATAACGCCTGTGGCGTGCGCCTCTTCGCATAAACTGATGCTTTCGCTCACAGCTCCATGTAAGAAAACTTGGCTTCAACTCAGGTCCAGACTTTCACAAGCCAAAGGCACACTTCAGGAACATCTCGAGAATCTATATTCGATGCGATAATTGATGCTGGGTATATAAGCGACAGTAACAAGAGATGCACGGCGATAGAAAGTTCGACGCAACGCTAACAACCAGAGGCGGAAATAACCCGCGCCGTCGCAAGAAATTACGGAAGAATTGCGGAGCAAGAACACATGTAGAAGTTCGGAGGCGCGCAAGTGACTTTTTTTAATGTGGATTCAGCCCGATGGACTGCCTTGGAAGTGCCTTGAAGGCGTGCGGCGGACTGGGCCTCGGCACGGACGGACATTGGATGGGAGGACCGACACGGAGCCACCGGTCAGTCGGTAATGCGCGATCGTCTCTGCTGGGAAAATAATGCCGCCGGAGAAAGACCGCAGAATATGCACCGGCATTTGATGCAGATGTGGAAACCTGTGGTCACGGCGACCGGAATGTGGTGTCATTGTGCTGTGACCGGTTTCGAGGCTGATCGCGAAAACAATCGCGACAATATATCGAACCACTGCCAGACACCTAGATGGTGTGCGCACAAGGCTTTTGGCATATCTTCCCTCAGACCGCGCCCATGAGGAACTTCCAGTGGAAGTCGGTGCTGGTAATATCGAGCGACGGAGTCACGTCCCGTAAACTCGGTAATTTCTCCACTCCATTGGTCGTACCACTCCCGTTGATTTTAGGCAGTGACAGATTGTGGAGGAGAGATACAGTCCGTCCCGAGCCTGTCGCTAGCTCAAATGTGTTGCCGTTCGGGCTTCCCCTACCCATTGCATCGTGCAGCGCTAGTCTCATGACTGAAGTGATGCGTCGGAAGCGCTCAAACGCGTCTTCTTGACTGTCTTGAGCATCGCGAGGGCGAGGCATCTGCGAGGATAGCTGTTCGCGATAGTAGTCGAATGACTTCGCTATTTGGAGCTCGCTAGCGTCCCAACCTGGCATGGGCGAGGCGTGAATAGCCAACTTGCTCAAGCTGGTGATTGTGTTGATCAGGTTGAGCCAGTCGATCAGCGACACGAAATCGAAATGCTTGGTCGGGAGCTTTGTGCTGTTGTCAAGGAACTGTTCGACGGACCGGACCAAGGTGACGCGTAGTGATAGCTGGAAGCCCGAAGCCCACGGTGTACTATCGCGATCTACGAGATCGATGGAAGCTGCCGTTCGATACTGGTGTATGCGTGCTGCAAGCTGTAGCCATTGCAGTATTGCTAGTCAGAAATTAGCAATTGCGAACGTTACAGTGATGTGGCTGCTTACTGAAATCTTTCGCTTGCAGCTTGGATGCAAGACGAATATTCTCCCACTTATCGCTCAGTCGTTTGACTTGTGTGCGAACCACCACTGCTTGCTCTGACTGGTTACGGAAAGTCTCTTCCACGTCCTCCATGTATTGGCAGACATCCGTTAGTATTGGAAGGACGGCATCTGACGTGTTTTCCCACGAAGAGGCCAGTTCTGACGCGTAGTTCCGGAGTGTGCTGGTGTGCGTCATTGTCCTTGCCTTGACTGGCTCCATCAAACCCAAGTTGGAAGATAGGTAGTAACATCCCAAATAAGCCCGCTTAGCTTCCCTGTCTCGCGGGCTTTCCTTTTGTAGAGGACTCCTCACAGTCCTCCCTATACTGTCCAGACCCAGGTCGTGTGCGATACCCAAGCACAACTGGAGAAGCATCGTGATCGAAACGGCTTGGACGTCCATGTAGTGATGATGCCAGGCTATGAAGACCAAGAGTCCCTGTAGGAGGTCCAAACTCTTTTCGCCTTTCATTATCCGGACCATGACCACTTTACGGAACTCTAGGCTCAGTGCTCTTTGGAGTGGGACCGAATCGTAAGAAGAGACTGTTAGCACAGCAAACATCAACATCGGCCGGCTCTGGAAGAGGTCCTGACAGCGGGCGTCTCTTGGTAGTGATACAAAGGGGAAGAAGTCGACCATGCTGCGATACGTGTCGAGCAGCATCTGCATGTGCACCAGGCTGATCGATCTGATAACAGGATCCAGTCGGCCAAGGCAAGACAGTGTGTCGTTCATTGATTCCCAGAATGACGCCGAACTTTCGGACTGATTTGCATGAGCGGGGAGTGATAACGTCCTGGGAGCTGGTGGCATCGATACAGGCGGAGCGGTGATTGGTGTCGGCGTCGGCATTTGCTGTGTGGAATCCAACAGCTGCGATGGGATGGTGGCTACCGATGGCAGACTACATTGTGTCGGAGCCGGCGCCATTGTCGCAACGATAGCAGACAACTTGTCCAATTTCTTGTCGAAGTCGCGCAGCTTGGTGGGTGTTTGGCCATCGCTGCGCGCCTTTGCTGGCCGCCTGCGCGCAACATGTTCCACACACTCGACTCTTGCCTTTTGGCATCTGGGGCACGTGTCATTCAATGTGGAGCAAAAATATGGCTGGGGTAAACAAACCTCTGGCAGAGAGCCGGCGTGTCAGATGGAACGCAGCGAACCTTGTGTTTTCGACAGCGCTCGCACGCAAAGGCGTTCCCTATCCTCCCTTCTTTTGCGTCCATGGCGGGGACAGAACTGGCAGTCTTGGGGGAAGGAGAGCCATCGGCCTCCGGCTGGGTACCCAGGCTGCTCATGTGGGGAAGTCCGATCATGTGGTGCCAAGTCCGGGGTCAAACTGCAGTTGTGAATTGAGTCCCTCAAACGCGCGTAACGGGTGCACCAGAGATCAACGCTATGCTGACAGGGCGGAAGGCAATGCCGCAAGCCATTGCATCGGAACAACTTCAGCACAAGAGCCTTTGAAATGGGTTCCGCCGAGGGCCCGTCTATGTGGCGGTGCGAAATGATCAAGATACCTCGGGTAGTATATGTCGGTATATTGATGGTCCGCTTGGAACCGGTTGCTTACTCCCGATGGTCTGGGGGCGTGAAAGCCGCCTAATTGCCCTGGCGGAACTGCTCCGAAGCTCCATCCGGCACCAGTGCTGATAAGTCCGTCATGTCAACGTTGCGCCTCGAATTGAATGGACGGTAATGGTGATGACCTCCAGTGCTGGCCATAGCAAGCGGCGCGACGCTACCGTCATAGTTTCCTCGCTCTTCTCCGCCCAATTTCAATCATGACTCACCTCTAGTGCCACAACCACGACGAAATGACCCAGAAAGCGCATCGCGACTATCAGGATGGCTTCGCCGGGAGGATAGGATGGGGTAAACGTCCGGCGCTGCTACTTGTCGATGTTTGTAACGCCTACTGGAACGATGCCAGCCCATTGGACACCAAGTCTAACCCTGCGTCTGCGGCGGCGCCCGCGTCCATCGCAAAACTCGTCTCTGCCGCCCGCCAAGGCAAAACGCCGTTGATCTGGACGCGAGTCGAATACACGAAGCCGGACATGTCGGATGCGGGCCTGTTCTACAGCAAAGTACCGCTACTCAAGCTGTTCCAAGTCGGCTGCGGGAACGGGCTTGAAAGTTGGTATCCTGGTTTAGAGCCCGCCGCTGGTGAAGTCGTCGTCCCCAAGCGCTACCCGTCCGCATTCTTCGGGACCGATCTGGCTGCGCAACTCCAAAGTTGCAACGTCGATACTGTCATAATCTGTGGTGTCAGTACAAGTGGTTGCGTCCGCGCGACTGCCCTCGATTGCATGTGCTTTGGATTTCGACCAATGGTGCGGATCGACTCGGCAACGCATGAGTCCCTGTAAATGTCACTAATCATCATTCCAGGTCGTGGGAGAAGCATGCGGTGACTTATCACCTGCGGTCCACAAAGCAAACCTTTCCGACATCAATGCAAAGATGGCGGATGTGGTTTCTGAGGATGAAGCAATTCAGAAGCTGCAGGCTGGATGGAATTGAGCGGGCCGCGCGGCTACAGTACCGCGCCGCAGAACTAGTTCCAGGAGGTAAAGCTCCTGTCGCTGTCAGTTAATACAGTCATCTAGGTTCCTCTCAAGCTCGCCTACATGAAGCCGAGCAAGTTTCTCGTGTACGATACTGTGTCACGAAGGCATGTGGGGATGGCGGCCACCACGAACGACAAATAGCACGGAAAATTAATAAAGCATACTTCTATTTCGAGAAAGAGCCAAGGGTAACGAAAGACTGGACGGACTGTAGAAGGCATAGTCAAGGTGCATCATCTAATAGGAAGGTGTTGAGCGTGGCGTGATGGTCGGTTCTTTTTTCTGACTAACATTTCACTTTGGCAACCACGACCCAGGCACTGGGTTTACACACACGCAGGCGATTCTTCACTACTCACTGCTTTAGATGCACTGCTTCACAGCTCATTAAGTTATCACTCAAAATCACTCACATCGCTAGTCACAATGCCGACGAAATCTTCCAGCAGAACCCACGAGTGACAACGAGCAGGCACGTGTCCGGTCTCAGAGCACATTTGCGCGTTTGCTATCGAGCACGGCATCAGCGTCTCTAGATACAATTCTAATCCACAATACCCTCGAAAGCGACGCGACACTGTGCCCAACTCAAGCACATCAACCACACTTGAAGTCTTCCGATCACAGTTCTCCGCCAGCGCAAGAGCCACCGCCAAAGAAATTTCTGACATGAAGCAACGAAACTCAGCACTCCCGATACTACAACACACTCCTTATCCGGGCGCAGAACCGGTCCCCGATTGCGTGTGGGTATGCTGTGGATGCAGAAGAAGATGGGAGACGAAGGATCTCGGCAACATCTGTGTCGGCTGCAGTCACAAATACTCCGTTGACTGTTGCCAGCTTGCCGGATAGCAGGGCATTGCTGGGGACGAGGACATGACACAAGGACGAGTTAAGGTGCGCCGGTCTACGTTCTTGATCTAACAAAGGCTAATATAGCGGCATACTTCAGCTGGTAACATACCCAGCGGTCGAGAGTGTGTACGAATTTGTACTTGTAGCCATGGATGAACGTGCTGGTGGCAAGCGCAGTCAACAAAGATATCCATTGGTATGCATCCCTCTTCAATGCCATGATCTACGAAATTTACTCCGCTCATGCTTCACATAGGCAAAGTGCTGTACTCCATTCGCTCCTCTGACACAACTGCTGGGCACCCATTCAGCCATAAAGCTAACGCCTGACTCTGCTTAATCTCTCCGATGGCTCGATTTGATTGCATCCCTTCCATACACCATCACGCTCCTCATCGGCGGTACTACCATCTCTTCCGACCACTTAAATTCAGGTCCTCATGATTTGGTGCCCAGCGACCACGGCAGTTGGAAATCTCCCTGGGGGCCTGCCCCAGACGACTTCTTCGGTCTCCACATGGCGAAGATAGGCGGAGGCGTCAGCTCATGCGCGCACTTCCTCCACTCGTCGCTCGCTTCCGACTTCTCGTTATCGAAAGCAATCTTCAGCAGAGACTGAAACGCAAACTTGTCGTAAAGCGGTTTTCCCATGGCAGAAGCTTCCATCCAACATTCGAGATCAAGCCCGTCCGCGCGTGTGATACCAACGTGCATGAGAAGAGAGCCAACACCGCGATTCCGATGGGCAGGGTCTACCGCCATCCAGTTGAGTGCTAATACAAAGTCAGCGAGAGGAAGAAGATCATTTTGACTTTTCGCACAATCACGTTTCTTCATCCGGAAATAGCGCGTTTGAGGGGAAAGGAAATGCTCCACTTACCACAGTGTGGCCGCGTCATCCAATTCGCTCGCGGCCTGTACACCTGATTGAGTATTGACTCGCAGAAGCTCCGATATTCGCCCTCGGGCCACCATGGCGCGGTCAACTTTGGTGTGCCTGCAGCGAATGGGTTGACAGTCGAAATTACCCATTGCGAGCAACCGACAGTCTTGTTAGTGACTGTGTCGAAGGCGTAGAACCAGTGGCTGGAATTGTCCTCTTGGTGCTGTTTCCAGAAGCGTTGTTTTGATTCGGCGACGGCGAGGTCGCGATGGGCGCTCGTGTAGCCAAGGACCGGGAAGAACAGTTGCATGAACGGCTCATAAGGTGTGTAGTTCGCAGCCCAGATGACATCCAGTATCTCATCCAGCTCTTGCTTTGTCTTTGCCTCCCGGATCACGTATCGTTGTCCCATCGCAGCGGATTGGTGATTGCGTCAAGCCATGGCGACATCGGCCAGGTAAAGTAGTCTGCAAGTGCGCTACCTCGCCGCCGCTGCGCATTGACAGCGCAATCGGAGATATAGCTTGACCCAAGTATTGGACATCGTAGATTGCCGTGTTAGGGTGAAGTTGCCCAACAAGGAAGGTACCGTCGACACATTTAGCGTCTTGGCGAGGCTGGCAAGTAACACCCTTTTGCCCCAGCACACCTTCCCCGATAGCCCCTCACTTTTACACACATCCAGCCACTCGGTAGCACTTGTATCGCTATCATCATCTCCAGATGCTTGCGACCTTCCTCGATCGTACGGGCGCCGCAAGACAGATTTCTCGGCGATGTAACGATGGACCGAGGCTGGTCGCGTCGCTATTCATTCATGGTCCGCGCTCGGAGCGGTGCGATTGGGGTATGGTGTTGTCGGGACGGGCTTGCGACGTATGTTTGTGAAACTCGAGGCGAATTCTGTGACACCCAATGAGCGCGCTCCGTCTTATGGAGCCGCGGAGGCTTGCTTTCTACATTCTCTCCACAAAGCGGATCGAAGAATGGAGCGACCTCCAGCATATGCGCCAGTCTGCAGCGATGAACAGGAAGAAATCCTAGCAGAGCTAGAAGAGAAGGATGGCGTTTCCTGGAACTCTAAGAGTACTGAGATCATCCCGACCAACACGCGCAGCTTCGTGGCGTACATGTCCATCCTGCTGCTCTCTCTTTCAGCGAACATTCTCCTGGTGATGGACAATGCAAGGCTTCGAATTGCGCACAGTCCAGCTAAGAGCAACTACAGTAAGTGACAGCCTGATCGGTCTGATGCTAGCTCACGAAAATCAAAGGTGGATTAGCCTACGATACTACTGTGCCATATCACGCGACGACAAAGTACTGGCATCCGAACGCCAGTGATAGTGATATGGAAGGGGCATGGGACGCTATTGACACCAATGCCATGGCTGTCACGCTTGACGATAGATTCGCAAAACGTGTCGGTCTACCCAACTCTACTCGGTTTCCATGGGATACCGAGAGAAGCATCTACTACGTCAAAGGAATCCACGATCTGCATTGTCTTGTACGTATACATGATGATGTTTGTGTTCATCCGCTGATTGCATCAGAAACTCATCCGGAAAGCCATTGTGTCAAAGCATAACGACAACCCACAGCCCTTCAATCTTCTTCACATCTACCACTGCCTTGACGGACTCCGGCAGGACATCATGTGCAATGCGGACGACACACCGATACCAGCCCCTGTTACACATCAGTCGGGCGAAGGTCAGCTTCGGCAGTGTCGTGACTGGGACAAGCTGATCGCATGGGCCACGCGTCCTGACCAACATGCTTGCTACGAGTTTGACGATTATCGCGAAGCAACGAACACACTGGAAAACTTTGCATTCTGCCCCCCGGGTTCGCCTTACCGGGAGTTCCAAGAGGCTTATTTCCAGTATCATGGACACAAAGACGCGTATGAGCTGTATGGTGACGAAGAAGAAATCGTGGTTTTCTGAAGTCGTGGCTGGGATACACCTTAGGCATACCTGGTGCGGGAACGTTCCTGGTCGTTTGCGCCAATTAAAATACGAATGTACCTGTTTTGAAACTTAATCGTGGTAGCAGGGACCACTTTATCGTCAGAAGTTCGGATGAACATGCAACTTAATATCGATGGAGGCTACACTACATGATCAGCATCAGCCACTAATGGTCGGACGCCATGGATCGGAAGGGTATGTACCTCATATCTGCCCTGACCACGAAAAGCGTCAGGCAAAATCCGCAGCCAACTCCAAGGTCAACCGATATCCCATGCCGTCAACGCTTTCTCATATCGGCCCGGGTTAACTGCATTGTTACGATGACCGTGCGGCGAGAAGACAAAAAGCGCAGTGCGACACTGGCAGGAGTAAGGCAATCATAGAGAGTGGATGAGCGGCGCCGAAGGCATGCGCGTCTGAAACTTCGGAATGACATGATTACATGCGAGAAGCAATAGTTCCGAAAATACTACGCCGAGGTACGTAGCAGTCGACACATATATCTCGAGGTGAAGAACAGCAAATCTAGCACCACCTTCATCCCGTTCCCACACACTATCTTCGACGTAAGCTAGAATGGCTTCGGGCGCGTATACCCACTGACGCTAACCAGAACCAAAGGAGCTCACCAAGCATATCAATTACCAACTATCTACCATGCACGCTACTATCGCTCTACTTCCGCTGCTTGCCTTCGCGATGGGCATCGCTGCAGCTCCAGCACCCCTGCATCCCGTTGCCCGGGCCGTACCAGACATCAACGAAGTCGCCCGAAACCCGGCTCCCATCGATCATCATGTCGGTTGGGACGACCATGGCAAACCGACACTCGGGGATATCAGCCACCTCAGTCCAGAGGACATCAAGAAGCTCAAAGATCTCATCAAGCATCTACTTGGTGGCAGTCACTCTGCATAGGAGGCTGTCGGAAGTCGTACATGGAGGAAGTGATATCATCCAAGGTATGCGCTTCAAACTTCGCTCCTCTAGGATTTAGCTAAGAATTGTAGCCCCCGGAATTCTTTTACAGACAATTATGCCATCTACTTGCGCATACGAAAGAGGTGGAGTCCTTTTCCCGCATGCGTCGTCGCTCTAGCCGCCAGGGCCGCCATAGCAACATGATCAAATACGACGAATTTCGAGATTTCTACTGCTCTATCTTAATTGCTCAGCTCTGAACATTCCGACACGTCTTGGCTAATTCCACGGCCTTTTTCATGCAACAACCTGTGAGCAGCCATCATCTGACGGGCAGCGCCACCACTGCAGCGACCGCCCCACTGCAAGCTCGCGTATCAATGGAACACTGCACAAGATATGTGCTGGCAAATGTTCCACGACGGCATTGGCCAATTGACCATCAATCGCCCGGCAACGTACAGTCGTGACACATTGCCGAGCCTGGTGTGTCACAAAGGTCACACCACGGTAGAAGATCCCAGAGTGAGCTAATCAGCGATTGGAAGATGACGAGTGTCGTTGTAGCTAGCGAGCTAACATGCTGGCTTTCCTCCGCCGCTTACTCCCGTAGCTTCCGACGTGTACCTTTCACTAACATACCAGCAAATCCTAACCTGACCCGAACTTCCGGCGCAGTAGCACAAACACCTCTTTGAAACAGAAGGATGTTCAATCGAGGATACACAAGCGTCTGGCCGACCTTGCATGTTCGTCCCTCTGTGTGGCTACACCTGCGCAACGTCGTACCGCCGCTTCCTGGTCTAGCAGACCCCTTTCCCCCGGTCTACTAACAATCCAACTGACTTCGCTTGTTTGCGAGTGTCTCGCTCCAAGATTAAGAGCGGATAACGACAGCGTGTGCTATGGTAATTGTGAGCGAGCCCTCAATGCAGGTTACCTACACGGTGGCAGCTCGCAATCTCACATTACCTGCACGTCATGTCGGTATTAGACGGTTGAGCGCGTTTGTAAGCTCCACCTTCATACAAACGAACAAACGGCCTGTTTGCACGCCTTCCCTTGTCTATTCTTGCGCGTGATAGGCCGCGCATAATACCTCGCTACCTATTACTGGCGCACTCACTTCGTCGGTATCTAGCCATTCTAACCTCGGATACGATGCAATGATGCCGCAATCTCTTTTTGCTTCTTCCCATCATCCCCTCCCGCGCGAACCGGGAAGCAGCGCGGATGTCGGTCCGTACATCAATGTGGTTACGTGGGTTCTCTTGATTACCTCCGCGTTGGCGGTCCTGACTAGGCTTGTTACCAAGCGTGCGTTGAAGCGGAGCTTAGATATTGACGATGGTTTTGTCTTGCTGGCTTTGGTATGTCGCGTTTGATTGAGCTGGATCATCGTTTCAAATCCCGCTTTTGCTGACTGATGGGAAATAGATTGCGACTATAGGCTCTGGTGTCTCTGTTAGTGTCCAGACAGGCAATGGCCTTGGGCGAGACATCCTGTTGTTGACTGAGGATCAGATCTTGGCGTATCAGAAAGTAAGCGGCTTAGTGACCGTCGACTACATTGATATCCTGCTAAGTTCTTTTGTAGGCCGAGTATGCGAACAAGCTGCTCTACATCGCAACTCTATGTTTCGCAAAGTTGTCCGTCATATCGCTGCTCAAGATTCTGACCGCATCAAAACTACACCGGACCTTAGGCTTGCTACTCACCGTCTTCATAGCTTCTTGGAGCATCCTGTCCGGACTTGTATCTGCGTTTCAGTGCGGCGCTGAAGAACCATGGCGCTTCCTTGAGAGAGGGGGGAGATGCTTCGACTTGGTATGTAAGAATTCTGCCGTCTTCTTTGACATTGCTGACACTTCGGGGAGGCCGCTTTCTGGCAGTCCGTGGGCGTCGTGAACATACTGACGGATCTGGCGCTCATACTGTTCCCGGTTCACGTAATCATGACGCTACAAATGAGTACGGGCAAGAAAGTTACGATCCTGACGTTCTTCGGCGCACGTTCACTGTAAGTTTGGCAAACAACCATCACAGTAGTCTTCTACTAATGCACCACAGAGACATCGCAGCGACTGCCGTCCAAATGGCGTTCCTCCACGGCTTCGCTTCACCCAACCCGACGAAAGACCTCTGGACATGGACACTCCTCACCCAGATCATTGAGTGCATCACCATCCTAACATCATGCGTACCCTACCTACGACCGCTCCTGGAGCACGTTCCATCAGGTCTCTACGGTACCGACACGATACGACACCGAGGTACGACCCCGGAGCACGGCTACTCGCGCACTAAAAGCAATTCGTATCAGCTCTCCAGCATCGCTTCGAAAGTCGGTGGCGGAACAAAACATAGTCGGAAGAGTCAGGTGGAAGGTGGCGGGTTCAAACGCCTTCTACCAATGTTCTCGCACAATAGAACGACAAATGCGAATTCCGCATCGGGCATCCCTGGAGGCCCTCCGCGACCTGACGGCGAAATGGATGTCGAAATAACAGCTGTACATCACAAGCACGATGGGGAAAAGCGATGGGATGACAAAAGATGGGAGACCGCAAGTACTGGGAGCTTTCCAAAGATTCTGAAGACTACTGTTGTTAGTGCAGAGTGGGAAGACGTGGGAACAAAGCGTGGCGATGCTTCCAGTGATGAGATTGCGATTTTGCGATGATATGCGCTCGTTAGGGGTGCTTTTGCGCCAGCATCAAGAGTTCTATACCCATGGATCTGGTGCTGAAATCCAACGAACCCAATGCTGCACGATCTCCATGATTCCTTCACTGTATCAAAAGAGTTACGACATGCTCGTTGACCAGTGTCAACGTCGAAACGACTGAGTATTGTGACATCATACGCGTGAGATTACAGTCGATACTCCGGCGATGTGGTATCCCCGTGGGCCTGTGAAGCTGTGCGAACGTTTTGCAGTGCCAATCGTCGCGTGGCTCACGCACGGGTTCCAGCCTTGAAGATTGGTGAGCTGGTTCCAATTGCAACTATCCGTCTGAAGGTTTAGAACTGACATGCCACTTAGCTGCCAGTACCCAGTCTAAATTGCTCATAGGCTAGAGAACCTTGAATGAGCATAACTTGCACGCGAGGTGAGTCAAGCCCGATACCAAGTCCGGCATTCAAGTTAGCCCCACGCTTGCTCCAGTCAACAGGAAGTCGTGCGCCTTTTTGGGCTTTCGCCCCCTGTAGCATGCCGCACTTGGACCTCTACTAGGAGATGTAACGCGGCATGCCTGTGGCTGCATATGTCAGCCTCTAAGAGTAGATCGAGATGCAACACGCGTGAACTGCATCTGCGCAGGTTTCCGACAATAGTACGATGTCTGAGAGTCACGCTGAGGCGTGCAGGTGATTGTAGTGGACTCTGTGCAAGGGACAGAATAGCTGGCCGCCACATTGAGATCGGCCTGGTTGTGTTCAGGTAACGCATCTTCTGCTCGCATGGAACCTTTAGGACACAAAAGCACCACACGACTCGCTTGGAATGCTGGAACAGATATCGCGATGCGTCATGATAGCCGTTGAGAATGCGTGCACGGATGGAGGAGGCGACTTCCCACATGGGCGGTCGATTACTAACTAGCGTCACACAAGATGGAATGAACCCCGGAGCCACCCCTTCCGTCTTCCCTCATTCCCCAACCACCGCACCGCTCATCGTCCAATTCGTGCCACGGACAATCTGCCGGGAGGTCTATGCCTTCGACTACAACGGTATGACAGCCGTTATTGTGACCACATGCCGCATGCTCTACCCTCGATCAGCATGCCGAGGGGAGACGACGGCGGCCCAATGTTGCACGCCCAGTGACATGCAGCGAGGAATGATGCTCTGAACCCCTTTTCGCGATTGAAAGCCATCATGATCTACTGCTGAGTTCGGGAAGCACGAACGCCTCTTTCTTGGGCATATGCAAAGCGCGACGTCCCGGTGCAAACACACATCTGTCCGTTCCAGCATCGACCATGCCGTTTGACAAACACGCGAAGACCGGGGAATGTTAATTTCGCCTCTACCACACTTAATGCATGCGAACAAGGGGTCTGCAGGAATGCATGTCACCGCTTTCCGCAGGTTAGGCACCCAATGGTGTGCGACCGAGGCACCAATCAACGCCCGTTTCACTGTGGGGTGCCCTCTGAAACTACGACTGCAGTGCGATACGTCGACTTGCGAGCTGCCGCCGTCACTGCAGAGAGCCTACAACTGCCTTTGCGGTGCGAAACGTTGGCTTGGTGTCTTTCACTCGGACGCTTAGTTGCATTGCCGAGCGACCGCCTCCTAGACCGACTTCACTACCGTCTTTGCCGGCGATCACCGTACTACCGCATCCACCCGTGGACATCTGCACATGGCGCACGTTACCTCTAGAAGGGATATATATCGAGATTTACTTGCATTGCATGCGTCCTGTATCACGACACACCTTCTGGGTATCTTCTTTCCTTTTCTGGTCTGCCTGCTTGCTCGACATTTGTTACTACGTACTGCGGTCGTATCCGTCTTGTTGCTCAACACGCCGCGCATTGAAAAGCTGGAACCAAGGCTATCATGGAGAAGCATATCGAACTACAGAGGTTCAACCATGAGCCTCTGCGGCCGAGGGGCCGGGGCTCCATTTCGGAAGGCAAAGGCCAGCAGTTCGATCACGACAGATATGAATTGGCGAAAGTGGGAAAGAAGCAGGTGTTGAAGGTATGCGCACTTTTGACAATATGTTTGTCCGGTCTGATCATGGTAGCGTCGCTTCGGACTGGTGTCTATGACCGGTCTCTCTTGCGGGTTGATGTGCACCTGGGAGACTTTGCTTGTGTAAGTCCACATAACTGACACCAACTACCTGGCTGACGTCATGGCAGTATCTTTTCAATAGGCTTCCAAAAGTAAGTGCTCAACCTATACAGCGTTCCAGCAGCAACTGACGATGACTACAGCGGCGGACCTGCTGGTCTCATCTACGGCTTCATACTGATATGGCTGGGCAACTTCTCCGTCTTTGTCTGCATTGGTGAACTTGCAAGCGCCGTCCCGACTTCTGGTGGCCAGTATCACTGGGTCTCTTTACTGGCGCCGCGCTCAAACAGGAAGTTCCTCAGTTACGTGACTGGTAAGTTCGTCAACTTCCAAAGCGATTCTAATCATATTAATCATCTTAGGCTGGCTCACTGTCATCGGCTGGATCGCAGCTCTTACTTCCGTATGCTACTTTGTAGCCGAATTGATCCTGCAGTTGGTCAGTCTGAACGACCTCGAGGGCACATACGTCCGCGAAGGCTGGCACGGCACACTACTCCTATGGGGTATTCTACTCTTGTGTGTCTTCATCAACGTCTTCATAAGCGGAGCGCTTCCCACCATCGAAGTCGTCGTCCTCATCGTCCATATCCTTGGCTTCTTCGGCATTCTAGTGCCATTGATATATCTGCCATCGAGCCACAATTCGGCCAAGAGGATCTTCACGATGTTTCATAATGATGGAGGGTGGAGCACGCAGACTCTGGCCTTCTTTGTGGGACTACAGGGCAATGCTTTGGCATTCGTCGGAACAGACTCAGTCGTCCATGTAAGCCCAACACTCCAGATCTGTCTACCCCTGCTAATGGAGTAGATGTCTGAAGAAGTCAAAAACGCCAGCACTGACGTTCCACGTTCGATGCTTCTCAGTCTCGTCATCAACGGCACGTTGGCATTGGGGATGCTCTTCGCCGTTCTCTTCAGCGCCCACGATATCACAAAATTACTCAACGACCAAGAAGCGACAACCGCGCCTTTCCTCCGCATCTTCACACAGGCTGTCGGTTCCGAGGCTGGTGCTACAGTCATGGTTGCAATCATCGTCCTACTCGAATTCTGCAGTGCAATGGGGTGCCTTGCAGCTGCATCACGCATGACATGGTCATTTGCTCGAGATCGCGGACTGCCTTTCTCTCGCGCTCTCAGTATGGTAAGTTCATGAATCGTTGCACTGCTATCTAAACGCATCCATTAATACCCCTCAGATTGACAAACGCAGCACCATCCCCGTCGTCTCCATCCTCGTCGTAACCGTCTTCGCTGCCCTCCTCGCCCTCATCAACATCGGCAACAGCGCAGCCTTTAATGGCACAATCTCCCTCGTCCTAGAAGGTTTCTACCTCTCCTACCTCCTCGCCATCGGCCTCCTCCTCTGGCGCCGCGTCCGTGGCGACCTAGACAACCCGGACTCTTCACTCACCATCTTCAACGAAGCGCAAGTGGATGAAGCGTACGATCGCAGTCTGACCTGGGGCCCGTGGCGTCTCAAGGGCGCGTGGGGCGTTGCGAACAATGTTGTTGCCATTTGCTACCTCACTCTCATTATCTTCTTCAGCTTCTGGCCTAGCCAGCCCCATCCGGATCTAGTAAATATGAATTGGGCGGGTGTGGTGACAGGGGCGGTGGCCGCGTTTAGTGTGGCGTACTACTTGTTGTTTGCGAAGAAGTCGTATACTGGGCCGATTGTCGAAGTGGATCCTCATGTGTTGTAAGGGGGACCGAAGTGGAGCTATCTGGCGCCTCTGGGGGTTATGTTCAGCGGGATAACGTACCAGAGGAAGGCTTTTGAGAGTTACTGCTGTGTAGTGTATGCTAGGTGAAAAGTTCCGGGACATAGAGGCTTGCAGTTGAGGCTCAACAAAAGCGCGGTATATATAGACTGGACATACCCATCAACCCGACATGACTTACGAACAGTACAATGAAGCCTGCCTTCCATATTTGTGAGGCTTGGAGAGCTACCAACGCCTCTCTACACTAGCCTAGATAACCCTCTCAAAACTTCACTCACTATACACCGATTGGAACGAAAAGTTGTGATCATAATCATTCGTTATCATACATAACTCATAGCATGATGACATTTGCCTGTATATGCGCGCCTTTCAAAGCCAAAATAGTACTCATGTGCAATAGAGCGTGAGAAAAGAAGAAGAAGAAGAACCCAAATAACCGGCCGTAACTCATCAAAAAACATCAAAGAAAAAAATGCTGCACCAACAGCCCCATCTCCACCCACTTCCGACTTCCAGACAAAAGCATCCAGATGCTCTGCCCACTTTTCCACTCCAAAGTCCTGAAGAACCCCAAGCTTAAGAAAGCGCCCCCATAGCCAACGCCACAATCTTAGGATTCGGTTTATCCTTTCGAACCAGAACTAGCAGAAAGAATCAACGAGCCGTTCAAAGAAGTGTGCTTAATGGGCCGAGCGAACAAGGGCTAACCTACCCTTCCGGTCTCTGTCAACGCGCATAACCTCCTTGCGGGGCGTACGCTCGACAAACTCATACTCGCGGTCGCCCTCGCGCTCGTACTTGAGCATGCGGCGCTCCTCCTCGAGGAAACGGATTTCGTCGCGGATTTCGCGCTCGGAGCGCCGGTCGTCGCGGCGCACGAGCTGTCGGCCTTCGGGGAGGAAGGCTGTGGCCGGGCCGTGGATGGCGGCTGAGCGGTCGATTTCGACGTAGCGCTCGTGTTCGTGGATGGAGGGGGAGGGGGCGCGCTCGGAGGGGGCGTAGACGGTGGGCGCGTGGTGGGATGGGGCGTAGATTACTTGGGGTGGGGGTTGTTGGTAAACTGATTGTGGGGGTGGAGGAGGTGCGTGGACGACGGAGGGCGGCGGAGGCTGGAATTCTTGAGGGGGT